GATGTTATATTCATCAAGAGCTTTCATTTGAGTACCCACATGCATTTTGATATATTTTTCATATATTCATATATATAAATATATAAAAAATATGAAAAATTGATATGGGTACTCAAATGAAAGGTCTCGTTAAGTGTAACATCGGGGTGAGCTTATATCTTCAAAAATATCATTAGTTGACAAGATAACACAGTCAATCCTTAATTATTGATATTTTTTAAGATATAAGCTCATCCCGATGTTACACTCATCAAGAGCTTTCATTTGAGTACCCACATGCATTTTGATATATTTTTCATATATACATATATATATAATATATATAAATATATGAAAAATTGATGTGAGTACTCAAATGAAAGGTCTTGATGAGTGTAACATCAGGATGAGCTTATATCTTTAAAAATGTCAATAGTTCACAAGATACAAGGTCATTTCTTAATTATGTATCTAAAGATAGAGAATTTTCGAATGCAGCCTAAATACTTATTATGTCAAATTGACTATTGGTGAGAATAATATAAAAATGATTCAAAGGGAACAACTTCAGGTCGACCTTTCTAATGATACCAAATTTAACCATAAAAATCCATTTTATCATATAAATATATAGAAAATTCTATATTCTCTTAATATAGAATTTTCTAAAAAATATGATTTAAGTTTTTTTATTTGTTGAAGAATTAAAATTTTTATAAATATTAACAAGAAGAAATGATAAAAATTCCAGATTTTTTCGTTTGCTTAAAAAACTTCAATGACACTTTTGAAAAAATAAATAGGGAAATAATGTCAATGATATTAGAAACGATAAAACATATTTATAGACTTGCGATTAAATAAAATAAATCTATTGAACCTGATTACGGTTTATAATTATTTAAGATGTTAGATAAAAGATAAATAAAATAAAATTGGTCTTTTGTTCACAGCGGATCTGAATCATACTTCTAAAGTATGACAAATAGAATTCATGATTTCTATTGATAATTCTCGCCCTATCACGTCCGGTGGAAGCGGCGCGGGGACAGAAAGTATAAAATTAGGGTTTTGAAACCCGTTGAAGGAATATTAGTACAATAAATAGTGAAATGGGAAAAGTATTGTTGGACTTTGTCAGCCCAGGTGATGGAAGCAGGAAATACGTTGGGTGAGGCGCTAACAGGGAAACACGCATCGACGGGTACATTCATTCCAAACATGCCTTTGCTTGTTTATATTTATATATATATATATATATAGATTTATAGATAAATAAATTTGGAATTGCGTAAAAAAGCGTGATTTGATTAATCGCGAATAATTTTTTTAATTAAAAATTAAATAACAAAATAAAAGACGACCCCCGGGCGTTTCAGGAGCTCAGTAGGAAAATGATGGTTCGATTCGTTAGTCGGCGAGAAAGTAAGAGGTAGTCTTCTCTCCTGGTCACGGCCACTGAACTCCGGACAGGCAGTTACCCGTGAGCACCCCGCTATCACGCATCGCATGCGTATGTATATTTATGTTTATATTTAAATATACAGACGTACATGTACATATGCGTTATGCGCCCATTGTATAGTAGGCCACGCAAAACTACCACCGGTTATTTTAAAAATAAAGAAAATAACTATACTATGAGCGACTGAGCTTACTCGTCGTGCTTCAAATACGTTTACGTTGTCTTCACTCTTTATTTATGAATAATGTGAGCTGTGATAGTTTATACTGATTATTAATCGAGAAGCACTTTAAGTATATTATTCAAGAAGTTTTGCGGGTACTTTTAATGACCGTGGATCTTCTCGTTTCATAACACTAAACAGAAAAAAAAAAATTAACTTGAATCAAAAGAAAAATTTTTAAACCAAGAAAATAATTTTGGAGAGTTCCATTGCACGTAAAAAATTTTTTGACGCAATTACGTAAAATTTTTTACTGTGTCTTGAATCAAGACGAAAAATTCTTGAATTAAGTTTAATTTACTTAAACCAAGAAAAGTTTCTTAGTTTAAGAAATTTTCTTCTCAAATTAAGAAATTGAATTTCTTCAAAATTATTTATTTGATTCAAAAAAAAATTTTTTTCTATTTATACATATAGATTAAGATTAAGTACTATTATTTTTAGATTAGAAATTTTTTTTTTAGTTAATTTTCATTTTTTTTTAATTTAATTTTTTTTAATTGATTTTTTTTAACCAAAGAAAAAAATCTAGAATTTTTATCATTTCTTCTTTTCAATATTTATAAAAATTTTAATTCTTCAACAAGTAATATATACTTTAAGAAATATATAAATATTTTTATTGTTATTATTCAACTGCATATTTAATTAAAAAAAAAAATTATATCAAAACTCATTTTTAGAGATTAATTTTATGAAATTTAAAAAACATTTTATTTTTTTAACAAAGAAGAAATTATTAAAATTTATAATTGCAATTTTTTAAAAATCATTTTTTTTAATTTTACTGATTTTAATTAAAATTTTTTTTCACGTGAAAAATGATTTTAAACAATTAAAAATATCGAATTTATTGTAAATAAATAAGAAGAAATAAATTATCTGTAATAAAAGGTTAGAAATTTATTGTGCGTACCTACGCATGCGCTTTAATAAGCGGATATTTCCAAGCTGTTGAATAACCAATAGTAATTTCTGATTTTTAGGTGAACCAATAGGAAATCAGGTTGTAACTAACTTCACTGTCGTCTATTTTTACTCAGAACAATTTAAAGGTTAAGAATTTTTCAATTAACGTAAGAAGAAATAATGTTAGATAATTATAGACCCAGAAAATTTAATTGAAGTTAGTTAAAAAGAAGTAATCTTTAAGAAATTTCGAAGTAAAAAAAATATTAAACATTAAAAAATATTTCATGTTCATCAAAGCAATTTTCCCGGAGTATAATCTCTTATAATGTAAATTAATAACACATAAAATGTATATAATTTTCGATGCAAAAGACTTGAATCAACACTTAATGAAATCCTCATAAAAAAAATCAAAACCGCTACGATTACATGTTTTTATTTAATAAATAAAGCATAAAGACTGCTCATCATGATGTATTGCTTGGTATACTGAGTACTCTGAGCAATAAAGGGTTCTTGAAGCTAAATTACTTTCATTAGAAAACTGTCCAGTAGCCTCTGACAACTAAAAAGAATCTTACAACAGCTGGTAGTTACGACTACTCGGGTACAACGAATATAAAGACGAACAAAAAAGTACAACAAAGAAAATGAAATAATAAAACAAGGTGAATGAACTGTTGGTAAATATTTAACCCTATTCATTTTTTAAATATTTTCCAACTCGATCCTCTTGATCTCGTCTGCTCTGTTTAAATTTATAATATTACACAAATATTTTATGAATTTCTTGATAAAAATTTCGAGGTTTCTGACCTGTAATAAAATAGTAAGTTTATTTAGTAGGATGAAAATCCAAAAAGTCAACTCGATCCAGCATGCATATAAGAATCGTTTCAAAAGTGTTTACCTGGTGGCGTTTACCGTTACGAGATCTTTAACGGGATGCAGGCGGGAGAAAGAACTAAAATTGAATAGTGTAAAAAAGGAGCGGACAAAATAAGAGGAGAAATAATAATAACAACACAAGGATACGATATCTTGAACGGTGAAGAAGATTTAAATAATTACCAAGATTATATATATATACATAGAACGTTTTTTGTCCTGAAATTTAATCTCAATCCCGGTGAGTTTAATAAACTGTGACCGTATTAATTCGCCAAATGCCATGATGTCGATCTTGCAGTTAAGTCTAAGTCCTGTTCAATGCTTTTACTTATATTATGTTTGCCGTTTGCTCTTACTCCGTACTATATACGGTAAACTCCTTGCATTAATGTCAGAAGTTCACCACAAAAGTCACCTTCGTAATACAATTTAATTTCTTCCGGCTGAAAAATAAAATTCTCTTGATTAAAAATGATTAATTAATTAAACTAATTCAAGTTAATTATGAAAATATAAAATTCTACATACGTACACATGAGTCACATTTACAAATAAAAAGATTATGTAGTTATGTGACATTTCGTTATCGCGATAACGAATGCGTCTTGATAAGCGACAATAAACGACCCGTATTCTAGAATGCTTATTAATAAATTCGTTTGTTGTATTATATGGTTTATGTTCTAAATTATTATAAGTGTATGTCTAAATATCAAACGTGATCTATCGGCTTTGTACTGAGAATTTCCGTAATGTTTCTCTCTTGACCAATTATTTTTCATAATAGATTACATTAGCCTTGACAATCTGCAGACTTGTCATCATACCAAGGAAAAAAAAATAATAAGCTCTGATACTCGCGAAGCACCGACTCGACGGCACTTTTAGTGTTTCCGAGTCGATAAAGAACTATTTGAATTATTCTAGTCGACGTAATAAGTTTTTTAATAAGTACCACGTGTGTGTAATACTTTGAGAAAAAAATGAACTTGATTAGAGAAAAAATCTTAAACTAAAAAAAATACTTGAGTAAAATAAAATTTTTCAAAATGATATTTTTGGTTTTTTTTTTTTAATTTTTTCTTGAGAATCATTTTTTTTATCAGTGAATGATAAAAAATAATGAAAATTAATTTAGCAGATAATAATTTTAAGAATTTTTGTAACAAATAAATTATAGCAAAAAAAATTAGAAAAAAAAATTGACAAGTAGAAATTTTAAAAATTAAAAAATGCAATTTTTAAAAAATAATTTTTTGGAACAAATTTGTTTGTTAAAAAAAGTGACAGCTAACTTTAATGTCATTAGAAAATAATATTTATTTTATGATACTGAAGTCAGAAGATATTTAACAATTTTTCTTATTTTTATTACAAATTAATTATACAAAAAAAAGTTTGAACTTGTAATTCTTTAAATTTTTTGATGTAGAATTTTTTTATAATTAATTTAATTGTCATAAAAATTAAAAAAAAGTCACTGTGAACTTTAATATGATTTTTTATATTTTTTTTTGCAGAGTAATTACAATGGATAACCAACAAGTATGGGTCCGGGACCAGAAAGAAGGTTTCATAATCGGTAAATTCACGGATATGGTAGACGGTGACGCATTAATTGTTCCTCTTGATCCGAAATATCCTCAACGCACGTGCCCACTCGACGAGGTATATCCAGCTGGAGAATACACCAAAGACGTCGAAGACAATTGCAAGTACACTGTGTTTACTTAGTTCTTTTCTTATTTCATCAAGAAATATTGTTTTATTATTAGTTTAATTTTTAAACTGCTAAAAATAATTTCCTTAAAAATTAACAATTCCCACATTTCTTCTTTTTATTACAGGTATTTAAATTATCCTTTAAATTTTTTAATAAAAAAATTTTACAAGTTCTTGTAATCAGAAAAAAAAATTTATTGAAATTAATAATTTATATTTAATTAGAAAAAAAAAATATTTTTAAAAATTAGCTTTTGTTTGACCTAAAAAAAAAAAAACCATTATTTTATATTAAGGTTAATCCTTCGAAATACTTTTTTATAACAAGACCTATTGAATAATGCAATAAGTTTGAAATAAGAACAAAAATTTCTGTTGATAAGTTAAAATTATAATGTATTACTCGAATAAATTAGTGTACTTATCACATAATTAACAAAAGAGGACAAGCTGATTTGAAGAAGAAATCAATGAGCTTGTAATTTCTGCTGGCTATTGAGAAATAAATGAGATAACAAATATTTTTAGGTGCCCTGATGTACCTGAATGAGGCGACTCTCCTCAATAACATACGCACTCGCTACTTCAAGGACAAAATATACGTGAGTAAAAATTTCAAAGTACTTTAGAGCTTGAGTGAAAAATGCACAGAAAAAATAAGATTCTCACAGCACACCCAAGAGATCCTGTGGGAGATAATCCACTAATGTAACGAAACACAGTGAGTGATGACTTTCACATCGCTATTTATTACAACAATTATTATCATTACTTAGTTTTTTTCTTTGGTAAGCGATACTTGCTCCTCTCATTAGTACGGAACTCCCACATAACCCCGGGATTTGAAGTAAAGATTACGCTGAATTACGGGCAATGATTGATGATGTTTTAAATTTTTACAGAGTTACGTAGCTAATATCCTCATTGCCGTTAATCCGTACTGTCCAGTTAAAGACCTGTACTCACGACAAACCATAAAAGCTTATCAAGGAAAATCGCTGGGTGAAACACCTCCTCATGTTTTTGCTATCGGTAAGTTATGATCCTGCAGAACGTCCAATATTTTTTTAGTAATAAATTCTTGGAAATATTTAGGGCCACTTAAACTAAGATTTACATGCACTTACGCATAATAACTATTAATTTCAAGTCATAGATCTTTTTTTTTTCATTTCTTCAATTTTTTACTTGTAAAATTATCAAAAATTTTTAATTTTGAATTATAAAAATTTGAACAACTACTTTAAAACAATGTTTATTGTTATTTTTAAGCTGACAAGTCTTTTCGAGATATGAAAGTGCTGAAACAATCTCAGAGTATTATTGTGTCTGGTGAGTCAGGCGCAGGAAAAACAGAATCAACTAAATATTTATTGCGTTACCTTTGCGATTTATGGGGCTCGACTGCGGGACCGATTGAACAGAAAATCCTCGATGGTAAGAACTGCGTATTGATAAAATGGTAATCGGAAAAAATAGACCGGAAAAAATTTTAGTTATGAAAAATTCATATTATTTAATTAAAATTATTATTAATAAAAATTGTAAGAATAATAATGTATCACTCTCACAATTTTTCTGAAAAACAAGTACCCCCAGAATGATCGCTACTTTTTTTGTTACAAAAAAAAAATATTATTATTATTATTATTATTATTTTCACATCTTCATTTATTGTCCAAATTCCCAAGATTTAGTCATTTAGATATTTTAAAATATGGATGAGAATTTAAATATTAATTATTATTATTGTTGTTAGAAATATATTACCGAGATCGGTGATTTTACTTATTAAAGAGGATTTATTAATTTTAAGCCATTTTACCCGATCCACTTAGAGACTCATCAATTTTTTGTTTATTAATTATTTCACTACAATATTGTCGATATGAGCACTCATATCATCCTCGGGTGAATATATAATAATTAAAAATTTTTGATTTAAAATTTTAAGACTATTTTAATTAGGATTATATAAAGATGTTATTTTTTACTCAGTAAAACTTTTTTTCGGTAACCGAAAAAATAATTCGGAACGCTCAGACCAGAATTGTGATGATGAATATTGTGGTGAAATAATTAATAAATAAAAAATTGATTAGTCTCCAAGTATATCGAGTAAGATGGCTTAAAATTGATAAATCCTCTTTAATAATAATAATAATTATTATTATTTTAATGAAATAATATGAATTTTTATAACTTTAAAATTTTTTCCAGTCTATTTTTTCTGGAATTCTGAAAAAATAAATAAATATACAATTTATCAATTTTTTCTCTAGCAAACCCAGTACTAGAAGCGTTTGGTAACGCAAAAACTAAAAGAAACAACAACAGTTCTCGATTTGGCAAATTTATGGAAGTCCATTTTGACAACAAGTGTCAAGTAGTAGGTGGTTTTATATCCCACTATCTCTTGGAAAAGTCCCGTATATGTTTGCAGAGTCCAGACGAGCGAAATTACCACATATTTTACATGATGTGCGCGGGCGCTCCAGCAGAATTGCGTTCAAAACTGGGCATTACCAAACCCGACGACTTTCATTATCTAAAAAACGGATGCAGTCAGTACTTTTGTAACGAAAAATCCGAGAAGAAGCTCAATGAAGCCCAAAAATCCCAGAACCACCTAGAGAAGGGAGGTCTTTCCGACCCAATTCTCGATGACGTCGACGGTTTTAGTACCGTTGATCAGGTGAGTTTTCTTTCTAATCTAATAAAATCTAAAAAAAATCTACTGCATCAATTCACATATTTTTATTCTTTTCCTAGGCTTTCACTCGTCTCGGGCTCACTGAAGTCGAACGAATGGAGATCTACACGATGGTAGCAGCTGTTCTCCACCTCGGAAACATAGTCTTCGAAGACAATCCCGAAGACACGCGTGGCGGCTGTAGAATCGCCGGTACCACTGCTAAATCCGTCACAATGTCCGCTAAACTTTTGGGTGTTGATCCAGAAGAGCTCAAAGAAGCGCTGGTATCAAAAGTAATGCAAACAAGCCGCGGAGGATACAAAGGGACTGTTATCATGGTTCCCTTGAAGATATACGAGGCAAACAATGCCCGAGATGCCCTCGCGAAAGCTATCTACAGCAAATTATTCGACCACATTGTCATGCGCATCAACAAGAGTATTCCCTTCAAAGCTTCCAGCTACTACATTGGAGTTCTCGATATTGCGGGCTTTGAGTACTTCAAAGTCAACAGCTTCGAGCAGTTTTGCATAAATTACTGCAATGAAAAACTCCAGCAGTTTTTTAACGAGCGAATTCTCAAATTTGAGCAAGAGTTGTACGCAAAAGAGTCGCTTAACATCCCTAAAATTTCTTACGTTGATAATCAAGACTGCATTGACCTTATCGAGGCTAAAATGAACGGAATATTCAGTCTTCTAGATGAGGAATCAAAATTACCCACTCAGAGCTTCGCGCATTTTACCAGTGAAGTTCATCGCACCTGGAACGGTCACTTTAGAATCACATTGCCGCGAACTTCAAAGCTTAAAGCTCACCGCGAGCTAAGGGACGATGAGGGATTTGTTATAAGACATTTTGCTGGTGGCGTTTGCTACCAGACTAATCAATTTATTGAGAAAAATAATGACGCTCTGCACGCATCGCTCGAAGGGCTGATTCAGGAGAGCGGTAATAATTTTTTGCGCACTCAATTCGCGAATCACTCCGCGAGTCAAAAGGGTAAACTTACTTTTATTAGTGTGGGTAGCAAGTTTAAAACACAGCTGGGTGAGCTTATGGATAAATTAAAGAGTAATGGAACTAATTTCGTGCGCTGTATTAAGCCCAATAACGAGATGGTCGATCATAGCTTTGATGGCAGCAGTATTCTCGGTCAATTACGCTGTTCTGGTATGACTTCAGTGCTTGAACTAATGGAACACGGCTATCCGAGTCGCGTTCCCTTTCAGGAGCTCTACAATATGTATAAATCGTATCTTCCACCGGAGCTTGCTAAACTTGAACCTAGGTTCTTCTGTGAGGCTCTCCTTCAGAGTTTGAAGCTTAATAATAAAGATTTTAAGTTTGGTATTACCAGGGTGTTTTTTAAACCTGGAAAGTTTGCAGAGTTTGATAGAATTATGAAGTCAGACCCGGAAAATTTGAAGAAACTTGTTGCTGAAGTGAAGAAATGGCTGCTTAAGTCGAGGTGGAATAAAATTCAGTTTTGCGCGCTCTCGGTTATTAAACTGAAAAATAAGATTATTTATCGGAGAAATCATCTTATCGTGATACAAAAAAATGCGAGGATGTTTATTGCTATGAAACAACACCAGCCGCGTATCAATGGGATTATGAAAATTAAAAATTTGAAGAGTCAACTGATAGAGATGCAGGAGATTGCTAATCAATTAAAAAGCGCTAGGGATAAGAGTATTGAAGATATTAAAAATTTACAGTTGGAAATTGATGTTGCTTTGAAGAAGATTAAGGTAAATATAATTTTATTATTTTATTAAATAATTTATTGATTTATTAGAAGTTTTTTTTTATTTGATAAAATATTTTTTTGCACAATGAAAAAAAAGGTTATTATTTACAAGTGGGGAGCGCGACAACAATAAAGTCTTTTGCGACTATCTACCATTTTAATTTTCATTTTTTTGAACAAAATTTTTTTTTTTAATTTTAATACATTTTTGCTATAAGTTATCTTAGTAAGCAAATAATTTATAATAAATAAAAATTAGTAAATTAATTAGTAATTAATATTTTTGTTTTGAAAAATACATAAAAAAATAAACAGTTAAAGAAAAAAGTTGAATACCACAATTTTAACATATTTTTAAAAAAATTTATAAATTTAAAAAAAAATATATCAAAAACATAAAAAAAAGATCAAATAAAAATTTTATCCGAAAACATAAGAGTCAACATTTTTTCCAATTTTTAAAGACAAAAAAGCTATATCGAAATATTAATTTTTTTAAATTTTCGATATTGCCACCATAAAATTGACTTAAAAACAAGTAAAATAAAAAAAAAAATTGTTAATTGTTCACCTAGATATGGCCAAAAATACGTTTGACCCCACTTGTAAATAATTATCAAAAAAAATTTTATTTGAATCAAGATAAAAATTCTTGAACTAAGAAAATAATTTTCAAGAGTGGTCAAAACTTAAAACAATATTTTGTAATAAATGTCTGTTGAGTATAACGTTTGTGTTTTAAATGAAACTTGGCTTAATTCAAATAATTTTTTCTCCGAGATTTTCGATATTAAATTACATTATTCGACTAAATAACGTACCATTACCAATTTAAATTCTTTTGGCTAAGTTTTCAAATCTTAACAGATGTTTAAAAAACACAAATTTTTTTTTTCATTTTTTCAAAATGCAAGTGCATTAAAATATTACTTATTGCTTATACCTTTTCTTTTATATGTAATATATAATCTTGTAAAAGGACATTAAAGTTATTCTCTAGTGACCCTGTTATTGGCTATTGCTGTTGTGTCTTTATGTAAATAAATAAATAAATAAATAAATAAAGAGTTCCATTGTCTTGAATCAAGATAAAAAATTTCTTAATTTAAGAATTTTTTCACTTAAATCAAGAAGATGAAGTTCTTCAAAATTATTTACTTAATTCAAATAAATTTTTTTTTCTGCACAGATGGAGCAAAATATAAAAAGTACGGAAATAGAAAACCTGTATACAAAATTGAGGATCGCTGTTAACAATGAAATGACCAACCTACAAGATAAAGTACAGCAGCAAAAAGTAGAGGAGCAGAAATTACGTAAACTTCAAGCTGAGATGGAGATAGAGAGGAAAAAAAAGGCCGAAGAGTTGGCTAAGAAAAAAGAGGAGGAGGAGAATAAAAAGAAGAAGATGGACATTGAAGCGAGAAGAAAAGCCGAAGAAGAACAAAGAAAGAGACTTGAAGAGGAAGATCAAAAAGCAGCACTGAGTCTTCAGGTACGGTGTTTTACTTTTAATTATCTTCCGCTAAGTTTTTTACTGCCCGTTGTTCTATCGGACAAAAGACTCATCTCGATAATTACTTAAGGCTCAATTGGAGAAAGAAGCTATGGAGGAGAGCCATTATCGGGAACTCCTGGAACAGGAGCGACGAGACCATGACTTGGCTGTGCGGCTGGCTCAGGAGTCTAATGGACAAGTCGAGGACTCGCCTCCGCCTATCAGGAAGTAAGTTTCAGTCATTTTTATTTAACTACTATAATTATTATTATTTATAATGTTGGTAATGTGAAATGATAAAATGAAATCAGAGTGTAAATGATCGAGCATACAATACCGATTAATTTGTTCATACAATGCTGGCAATTGCTAGTTAAAAAATATACAACACCAAAAATTGTACAAAGATAAACCCATGTATATTCACGTTCCAATTTTTATGTAATTGCACAGTGGCTCAGACGTGCGGGTAACCACGACAAACAACAACAGGCTCAACAGGTATCAAACTTTTCAGGGTCTTGACACCAACTTAACTAATTTTACTAACTCTAATCCTTTATTTGTTTACTATTGTTAATTTATTATGATGATACTTAAATTAGCTGACAACTATCAATTTTTTAAATATTTATAACAAATCAATTACAATAAAAAATTTCCACTAATAATTTTTTTTTCACATGTGGAATTTTAAAAATTTTTTTTGTAATAATTTTATAGCTTTAGAATTAAAAAAAATTCTGTCAGTTAATTTCAGTGCCATTTACTATGACCATAAATCTACTAAGCATTAATTAATTTTTAGAACAATATAAAAAACAAAAAATTTAATATTAATTTAAAAATAAAAAAAATGCACTTTAAGAAAATTAAAAAATCTATAGGTCAATTTTTTTTAAATCAATAATTTTTTTTTGGTAAATATTTACAAGTGGGTAGAACCATTTTAATTTTTATTTTTTTAAAAGAAATTTCTATTTGATTTTACTGATATATATTTTTTTTTAAATAATTACCCTTTTTTTAATTCTAAAAAATTAATGTATGTTTGCTAAATTCAGTCATATATTATTGTACTTTAATTTTATTTCATGTATTATAACTTATAACATAACTCTAGTGTAATTTGCATGACCTTTTATGTGTACCATAAAATTAATTTGTAAATTAACTCTTCGTATTTTAATAAATTTTATTTTTAATAAAATTACAACTTAGGATCCAGTAATGCATGTTAAAGCTGTTTTAAACTGTATTAAATTTCCAAGAACTGACTAACTTTATTGGTTTATTAAATTCAGGTCGGAGCAAGTGAGAAATCATCAAGCGATGATGGCCAATAAAAAGTACGATCTGTCAAAATGGAAGTACTCGGAATTGCGTGACGCTATCAATACTTCTTGTGACATTGAATTACTCGAGGTAAATAGAATAAAATTATTGTATATTATTTATTGAGGTAATAAATAATAAAATGGACTTGTCAATTTTTCAGGCGTGTCGTCACGAATTTCATCGTAGATTGAAGGTGTACCACGCTTGGAAGGCGAGAAATCGCAGACGTACTACAATGGATGAAAATGAACGTGCTCCGAAGTCAATTATGGAAGCGGGTATTTATAAATTTTATTTTTTTTGGGTTTAATGGTATATTAAATTACAATTATTTTATGAATTTATTGTTTTTCAGCTGCTAGATCCTCACGTAATCCACTGAAGCATCAGATAACAGAAACGTCACAACGTTTCTTCCGTATTCCATTCGTGCGTCCCAACGCTGCAGGACAAACGGAAAATCCTAACGCTGGAAGTAAACGTGGGTGGTGGTACGCTCACTTTGATGGGCAGTACGTAGCAAGACAAATGGAATTACATCCAGATAAGCCTCCAATTTTATTGGTAGCAGGTAATTAAGTCATTTATTTTTTATACTTAAAAATTTAAATAATATGAACTAGCCAACTTTCAGTCACTATGTGTTTTATTAAATAATGACTTTTGTTAAATTGCACTGTACTTTCTTAAATATTGACGTTTTTAAAGATACAAGCTCATCCCGATGTTACACTCATCAAGAGCTTTCATTTGAGTACCCACATGCACTTTTATATATTTTTCATATATACATATATGTAATATATATAAATATATGAAAAATTGATGTGGGTACTCAAATGAAAGGTCTTGATGAGTGTAACATCAGGATGAGCTTATATCTTAAAAAATATCGATAATTAAGAAATGACCTTATATATCTTGTCTACTACAGACATTTTTAAAGATATAAGCTCATCCCGATGTTACACTCATCGAGAGCTTTCATTTGAATACCCACATGCATTTTGGTATATTTTTCATATATTCATATATATATATATATATATATATATATAAATATATAAAAAATTGATGTGGGTACTCAAATGAAAGGTCTCGATGAGAATAACATCGGGATGAGCTTATATCTTTAAAAATGTCAATAGTTCACAAGGTACAAGGTCATTTCTTAATTATGTATCGAGAGATAGAGTATTTTCGAATGCAGCCCAAATAATTTCACTAAAAAAAACCGTATGACTATCCTGGATACAAAATTTTTCTTATTCTCTTAATAATATAGATTATTTATAATTGTAATTATGAAATTTTTTTGGGCTTACAGGAGTTGATGATATGCAAATGTGTGAATTAAGCTTAGAAGAGACTGGTCTGACGAGAAAACGAGGCGCTGAAATTCTCGAGCACGAATTTAACCGCGAATGGGAGCGCCACGGTGGTAAACCTTACATAATTCCCGGCGAACGTAAGAAATAAGTTAGGTAGAAATTATTATCACGGTTTATCGGTTTAATATATATATATATATATATAAATAAATATATACATATATTTAATAACAATAGGTATATAATAATATCTTATTGTACACTTGGAAATTTATTTGTATGAACATGATCTTATTCATTTATATCTTTACTGTTTTTGCTTCATCTTTATCTTATATTTTTTGTTATTATAATGATTATTAATACTGTCGATTATTTGCGACAAGGTTGTATGTTCATATGATAGATTAAAAATTTCATAAAATTTACAAGTTTTCTTGTTTTACTTTTAAACAATTTTTTTGATAATCATTAAAGGAAATTTGATTGAAATTATTAAAAAAAATTATTTTACATCAAGTTTGAAATTAAAAGTTTTCAATAAAGTTATTTGAAAAAAAAAAAATTATTTTGTGCTTATATTTATTTATTTTACACACCAAAACTATTTTATATCCTTAAATCCTTTTTGTAATTATAAAATTTTAATAAAATTGTAAGTTTATTTAAAGAAAAACTCAAAATGAATTTTGTGAAGAAGAAATATACAAAACAAGAGAAGAAATGATTCAAAGGAGGATCATTATTGGCAGAATTATTTTTTTAAATGATTAATAAAACAAAATTTACTAACAAGCGCTTAATTTTTTAAAATTAAGAAAATCAAAAATAATTACAACAAATGATTCATACCTTACAATTAATTTAGAAAAGATTTTGTATATTATATAACAATTTGTTATTGCAATAATAAATGCATCCTTTTGAGCGACAATATAAGACTTTTATTCAAGAGAATTAATCAATAAATTTAATTGTTATATTTCTCAGATTCTAAAATGTTCTGTATTGGAAATTTCTACCAAGTAAAATTATTCTTTTGACTAATTATGCATCACAATAGATTAATCTAATCTAGTCTAGAAATTTACAAATTGGTTTTCATATAAAGGGAAGAAAAATTCGTAATGTTATTATTCGCAAAAAGCAGCTCGACGGCACTTAGTGTTTTCAAGTTAATTGTGAAGTATTTAAATAACTTTATTCTAGGTAATAAATTTTTTATTAAGTACTAAGTGTATAAATATGTATATATAAATCTAATGTAATAAAATTGATGGTGCATGATGAATACTTTCTTGCAGAATTATTATAATGAATTACGATCACCAAGTATGGGTCCCGGACCCGAAAGAAGGTTTTAAACTCATAGAAAAAACCAATGTTGCAGCTTCGAATGTAAAATACCCAGTCGGAGATCCCAACAAAAACGAAGATGATAACTGTAAGTACGCTGTGTTTATGCATATATATTTATATTTCCTTTTTTTTTTTATTCATTTACGTTTGAATTGAATGTTTTGTTTTATTTGTAAAATTATTAAGAAATACTGAACAATTTACAAATTTACTTTTGTAAAATACATAAATGTGAAAATTACAATTTATTTATTTATTAAACAATAAGCAACAAATAATATATCTAAATAAAAAATATATTCGTATTTATATAATAACGATCTGAAAAAATATTAAAAATATCCATCGTCTTATTACAGTGTACCATTATTAGAGCGAAACAAAATAAAAAGATAATTATTATAAATGTGACCACTGTATCAGATAAATTATCCATTCATAGGACAATCTATTTGGCTAATCGATCATTCTAGCTAACTTAATTAAACAAATTTCATCTTTACATTATAAAATTACATAAGTGGCAATTTAACATTATTAAAAATGCACGTTTTCCAATTTGGAAAATGTCTTTTTTTCATAAATAGAAAGAAATGTAAAGTTAACAATTGGAAAAATGTCAATTTTAAAAAAGTCAAAATGTAAGATTTATATATTTGAAAAATTGTCAACTTTACATAGCGATAAATGTGAACAACACAAAGTAAAATATAAAATTGTAACATAATCACAATGTATGATTTATTTTTTTTTTTTATAATCGTCAAGATGAATAACTTCTAAGATAATTTTAAATCGATTTAAATTAAGAAATTTTTTTTTACTATTGCTTAAAGGCTAACTGTTGATTTCATTTTCTATAAAACAATAGGGTAAAAGACTCCATTAGTAGCGGGGATCCCATTACTGACACTTTTTTTGATTTTGGTACTTATTCAATTAATGAAATCATTAATTTCTATTATGAATATATTATTTCTAATCTTTAAAACCTTTAGATCAAAAAAATTTTTAATTTTTATTCCAAGTAGAACATTTTTTCATTGAAAGAAAAAGTGCCACTAATAGGATTCAGAGGTGCCACTAATGGGGTCTTCTTTTACCTTACTCATGTCATGTCATTATACACCCCCTCACACTTCAGTGGATGCTTCAAGTCTTCCTCCTCTTGCTTACACATCCTGCAACTTCAATTTCTGTACCATTTTTTACCCGCTCTCCCGATGTTTCCACATTTCTTTGTCTTCTCCTCTTATTTTGTCTTTTTTCCAATAAAAATTCTGATCTTTTGCTACTTTGATTTAAAGAAGAAAAATACAATTGATTTGAATAACATTTATTCCGGTAACTAGTATTTTAAAATTAATAATTTTGTTGACTATTTTAGGTGCGTTGATGTTTCTGAATGAGGCAACTCTCCTCAATAACCTCAGAATTCGCTACGCCCAGGACAAAATATACGTGAGTAAAAACTCACAATGTATTTATATCTTCCTACAGTTTAAAAGCTGAATTACTCGCAAAAATTAAACATTTTTTAAATGTTTTCAGACTTACGTAGCTAATATCCTCATTGCTGTTAATCCTTACTATCCCATTCAAGAGCTATACTCAGAAGATACAATAAAAAAATACCCAGGAAAATCACTTGGTGAAGAACCTCCTCACATTTTCGCTATCGGTAAGTTATGTCATTTTTTTTACTTCTTCTATTCATGTCTTTAAAACTATCGAAAATTTTTCAATTTTAAAATATTTAAAAATTTCAACAACTACTTTAAAAGAATATTAACTATTAATTGTTATTTTTAAGCTGAAAAGTCTTTCCAAGACATGAAAATGAATAAATCATCGCAAAGTATAATTGTATCTGGTGAATCTGGTGCAGGAAAAACAGAATCAACTAAATATTTACTGCAGTACCTCTGCAAATTAAAGGGTTCCAGCGATAACTCCCTAGAACAAAAAATTCTTGCCGGTAAGGGCTGTGTATCAATATAATACTTAAAAAATAAATAAATAAACAATTTATCAATTTATTCTCCAGCAAACCCAATACTAGAAGCGTTTGGTAACGCGAAAACTCAAAGAAACAAAAACAGCTCTCGATTTGGCAAATTTATGGAAGTCCATTTTGCTGAAAATTTTCAAATAGTAGGTGGTTCTGTATCCCACTATCTTCTGGAGAAGTCCCGTATATGTCTGCAGAATTCAGATGAGCGAAATTATCATATATTCTACATGTTGTGTGCCGGCGCTCCACTAAAATTGCACAAAAAACTGGGCATCAGCAAACCCGACGACTTTCTTTACCTGAAAAACGGATGCAATCAGTACTTTTGTAACAAAGAGTCCGAGAAGAAGCTCAGTCAATCTCAAAAATCACAGAGCCACCTCGCGAAGGGATGTCTCTCCGACTCAGATCTCGATGACGTCGAAGGTTTTAATAAAGTTGATCAGGTGAGTTTTCTTTCTCATCTGATAAAAAATAAAAAAATCCAACTCCTTTCGTGTAGAAAAAAAATTGTACACAATTTGTATCATCAAAATGTGACACAATTGTCAACATTTTTTGAACAGCCAATAAAAAATCGAGAATGCTTTGAGACATTCAGAGTCTGGATTGGTCAATAAATTTTGAGAATTTTACACGGAATGTTTATTCAGATTCCGGTTAATTTTTATAGTTTCAAACAGTAAAGCGAACATCGGGGTGGCAAAAATATAAATATTACAGAACTTAATGTAGAAAGTATAAAAGCCACAATTTATAATTTAATATCCAAAATAAGTGACTAGTAATTGTCACTATAGTAAATAACGACTTTTTCATCTTAAAAAATTACAGTTTCAAACAGTAAAAATTACCATTTCAATAATATAGTCCATATTATGAGTAGAAGGGGAATTCAGATGAAAGAGAATGGGGTCTCACTATGGGAGAATTTAACATTTGAAACAGTAAAAATTATTCCTTTAGTAAAAAGTTGATGTGACGTTTTCATTGTTGTCGCTTTTCGTTACTATAGTGAACTTTTTTGGCAATGGTTTTCATAACAATGATTACCATGGCAACGATTAAATATTAATGAGTAAAATTTGTAAAAATATTGATTAATTAAATTGTCGATATTAAACATTTTGACAGAAGGGCGTAAAGCGCGTTCGATTTTCTAGTACTTTTAAAATATACATTTTACCAGTCCAAGGAAGTCAATAATTACAGTTTGATTTTTAACGTTGCGTTTAAAATTTACCATTTTACTTTGTAAATATTGACATTGCTTGTATTAGAAATTTACTAACTTTATTTCATACTTTTTACATGGAGAGAAATTTATAGGAATCTTTCCAACAATTATGGGAATAGATCCTATAATAAAATTATCATTATAGGCATTAATCCTATACTCATTATGGGAACCATACCCATAATTTATTGGAAACGTTCCTATACAATAATGAAATAGCTTCAATATATTATGGGAATGGTTCTTATAATATTATGGGAATGGTTCCTATAATATTATAGGAATGGTTCCTATAATATTATGGGAATGACGCACATAATAATAGAAAAAAGTTTATTTTCTTAATAATGAAGCAATCACTTCAAACATATAAAGTAATTATTATGAATTTTTTTTGCTAATAAATTTTTTTTTTGTAAATATAAAATTGATCTTTCACTAGAGTGAAAAAATTTCTTTTTCATAATTTTTATTCACGTGTGAACTTAATCTTGAATTATTTATTCCAACTCAGTTATTATTGTGTGAAATAATATTGAAAAATATTGTAGCAATTTCAAAATTTCTCCAATAAAAAGGATATTTTCTCACTATACAATTGTAAGAGCAAAATAGATATGGAAATTCATGGTTTATTTTCACAATTTCATTTTATTTTTAAAACAAATTATTAAAACAGAATCACTTAATCAAAATAAAATAAATCTAGTGAAAAGTAATTGATTAAATACCACAGTTGTGTGAAAATAAATTACTCCAATATTATTGGCATCATTCTTATAATATTATGGGAATGGTTCCTATAATATTATAGGAATGGTTCCTATAATATTATATAAACTATTCCTATATATTATAGGAACCATTCCTATATATTATGGGAATCACGCCGATATTACAGTTATAATTATAGGTATCGTTCCTATAATTATAGGAACCATTCCCATAATTATAGTAACGTTTCCCAAAAATTATGGGTATAATTCCCATAATTTAAGTAATCGCTCCTAAAATGGTATAGGAAAATATTTCATTAAAATTATAGGAATGATTTCCACATTTTTCTCTACGTGTACATATCATAAGATCATTTTTTAAGTGTACGAAATGATAAGTATCAAAGTCTGAATTGTTAATTATTATACTTTAACATTTTAGACATTTACATAGCGAATATTACTGTTTGAAATAGTAGTTTTTTTTCATGTAAAGAGTAAATTGTAACGTTTAAATTGTAAATATTATAAAGTGAATAATAAAATCACGTTTTTACTGTTTGAAATGGTAATTTTTAACAATTGATCATAACTTATTATAAATCGACTGTTATTTATTACAGTTTACTTTTTTCCATGTAAACATTTTTTGAACAATTTTTGAGACACACTTTGACCATTTAATGGACATTGATAATTATTGTAAATAATTAGTCAAGCCAATAAAGAGGATTCTCGATTTTTTATTAGATATTAAAAAAATATTCATAATTGTATCACGTTTTGATGTTACAAGCTGTAAATATTTTGTGAACATTTTTTGAACAGTTTTTTTTTTTTTTTTTTCCACGAGCTGCATCAATTCACATCTTTTTATTCTTTTCCTAGGCTTTCACTCGTCTCGGGCTCACTGAAGTCGAACGAATAGAGATCTACTCGACGGTAGCAGCTGTTCTTCATCTCGGCAACATTTGCTTTGAGACGATTCCCAATGACCCGTCTGAGGGCTGTAGAATCACCGCTGAAACTATCAATTTGGTCGAAAAGTCTGCTAATCTTTTACGTGTCGATTCGAATGAGCTCAAAGAAGCTCTCGTATCACATAAAAGGCAAAGCATACAGAAGGTGGAAGTTATCGAAAGTCTGCTTCGACCAGATCAAGCAGAGAACGCTCGAAATGCTCTCGCCAAAGCTGTTTACAGCGAACTGTTCAATTATATTGTTTCGCGTGTAAACAAAAGTATTCCTTCTGAGTCTCACGAATACTATATCGGAGTCCTCGATATTGCGGGCTTCGAGTCCTTCGAGGTAAACAGCTTTGAGCAGTTCTGCATAAATTACTGCAACGAAAAACTTCAGCAGTTTTTTAACCAGCGAGTTCTCAAATCCGAACAAGATACGTACAAAGCAGAGAAGCTCAACGTTCCTAAGATAACTTACGTCGACAATAAAGAATGCATTACTATGATCGAGGATTCAGAAAAGGGGATATTTAGTCTTTTAGAAAATTTTTTGAGACGTTCCGATTCAACACCAGAAGAATTTACTAATCTAGTTCATCAAACTTGGGATAGAAAAGATAAGCTCAAACAGCTATCGACAAAATGTAGAGCTCTATATGCACTGAAGCAGGATGAGGGCTTTTTGATAAATCATTTCGCAGGCGAGGTTTGCTACCAGACGAGTCAGTTTATTGAGAAAAATAATGACGCTCTGAACTCCTCGCTCCAAGAATTAATTCAGAAAAGTGGCCATGAATTTTTGCAAACTGGGTTCGCGACTGACCCGGCGAGTAAAACAAAAAAACGAGTGATCCACAGTGTAGGTAGCAAATTTAAAAAACAACTCCGTGATCTTATGGATGAATTAAAGAAAAATGAAACTAATTTCGTTCGCTGTATTAAGCCTAATAATAAAATGGAGCCTCGTAAATTTGATGGCAGCTGTGTCCTCAGTCAATTAAAATATTCTGGTATGACTTCAGTGTTCGAATTAATGGGACACGGCTATCCGAGTCGCGTTTACTACGAGGAGCTCTACAAAGTGTACGAGAAGTTTCTTAGTACACCGGACCTGGCTGGCCTTAAGGAGAAGGACTTCTGTGAAGCGCTAGTTCAGAGTTTGGAGCTGAAAGAAACTGAAGATTTCAAGCTTGGTGAAAAAAGAGTATTTTTCAAACCTGGAAAGTTTGCGGAGTTTGACAAAATTATGAAGTCAGATGAGAAAAAAATGAAACAATTGGTGATTAATATGAGAAAATGGCTACGAAAATCGCGAATTGCTAAACTTCAAAATTTGAAAGAACAAGTTCTCAAGATGAAGGAAATAGCTAATCAATTGGAAAGTACAGGGAATAAGAGAATTGAAGGTATCGAAAATTTTGAGTTAAAAATAAACGTTACATTGGAAAAGATCGAGGTAATTAAATTATTTTGTTGAATAATTTATTAGAAATAGTTAATTTAACACCATCGTTTTGATTTTTCATTTATTTTTATCAATACTCTGATAAAAAGGTTAACTTGATTGAAGAGAAAAAAATCTTGAACGAAGAATATTATTTTCAAGAATTTTATTATCTAAAATCAAGCAGAAAAATTCTTGAATAAAGTAAAATTTACTTGAGCCAAGAAGAATTTCTGAGTTTAAGAATTTTTTTTCTTCAAAATGACACTTTTTTTATAAGTGTATTTAATTTTTTCATTTAAAACAAAAATTTTCATACAGGCAAATCAAAATATCCAGCCTGTAAAAATAGACAATAAGTATACAGAATTGAAGGACGCTATTGACAAGCTAATGACCAAGTTAGAAGGAGAACTAGAACAGCAAAAAAAAAAAAAGAAGAGCAGAGATTAGCTGAAATTAAAGCTGAGGAAGAAAGAAGAAGACAGGAAGAGTTGGCTGGAAATAGGTAAGATTTAGTTAATTTATTAAACAATAGTAATATGATAAATTTGTTCATACAACGTTGGAGTTTGCTAGTTATAAAAAATTCCTATTTTTATGTTTTTATGCAATTGCAACTAATTTTACTATCTTTGAAACTTAATTTATTTATATTATTGTATATAATTTTGGTTTCGGCGAATTAGATTGGAGGAAGCAAGAAAGGCCACTGACATTCCCGACCCATCTAAGTGGAATTACTCACAATTGTATGCCGGGTTTTATAGTAATGACCCGAATAAAAAAGCGGTAAATCAAAAAAATTTTCAAATATTATTAATTATTTAATTAATTATATACTTTTAAATTTTTCAGGCATCTCTCATCGAAATTAGAAAAAGATTGGATATTTACCACAATTGGAAGGCTGAGAATAATATCGAGTGAGACGATTAGATTAAATAATCATAATTATTAAATAATGAAATGTTATATTGCGTATTATGTCTAAAATAAAATAACATTTTTACCTTATTATTTATCATATATTTCTACATTTATTACAAACCATCTATATTACAGTAATTAAAATTAACAATACTTTAATTTAGTTTTGTCGGCGAAACCCAGCCGCCAAATGCTTTTTCTAATTCTTTAGCGACTGCTAAACAGAGTCTGTCTTGATGAGGTGCAGCGATCACCTGTTAATTTATTCAAGATTAAGTAATATATCAGGCATAACTTATATTTATTTAGGTTTTTTAATAAAAATTTTTAATGAAAATAAAACAATAACTAAACATGTAAAAATTATATCGACGGTCTAATTAACAATTGGCCTAACTCCTTAATTTTTAGAAGATGATTTTTTTTAATTTTGATGTAGTAATAGTTCAATTATAAATTATTTGAATGATATCCAAACCAAAATATTATACCTCTATTAGATATCAAATTGTTTTTTAAAGTGATAATAAATTTTAAACTCATTGTTTTTTCGTACAAATGGAAGATTCTCTAAAATGGAGTTAGACAATTTACTAATTTATAACAACAAACATTATCTAATATAATGAAGCAAAACTCGCGAGGAATACATTTAATTACAATAGTACTGACAATAAGGTAATTGCAAGAACTGATGTACAAATTTAATTATGGTAATAAATATCGTTAAAACTGAAAAAACTAAATAATGTATCATCTTTACATTAAAAATTTTTGATTTTTTTTATTAATTAAATTACAACTAAAAAAATATTTCTAAAAAATTGCACTTATAGTTTTTCAAGTTTTTTACATGTGACAATTTTTTTTTAATTGTTTAATTGAAATTTTTTCAACAAAAAATTTATAAAAATTTTAAAATGTCGGTTAACTTCATTTTCATATCATCTTCGCGAATTTAAAAACTTCTTACCTGAAATCCGATTGGTAAGCCTCGCTTATTTAAACCCATTGGAACGTGCGTTGCCGGTAGCCGAAGAATATTGCAAAGAATGCAAAATACACCTGAGATTGTCAGCAGAGCACATTGACCGACTGCTGGAGCTGAACTAACAAAAGTCGGGAATAATAACACTGAATTTTCATCCAAGATTGTCTGTTGAAGAAAACATTGGTTCATTGCACATCATTTCTTCTTTGAAACTCTAGAATAACTATCTATAATCTTCAATTAAGATCAATAATTTAGATAAGTTACAATTATCATTACCAAAAGCTTTTTTTGCAATGTTTCATATTTTTCTTCGTACAGCGGAAATCGAGATTCAGGTACAAATCCATTCATTTCTCTAACAATCGCCACAAAAATAGATGAAATTGAATGTGATGAACACCCAAGCATCGCTTTTATGGATTCTAAAAACGGATTTACTCTTATCTGCAAAATTTATCAGTTCTAAATTATTTATTACTTATTTTTAAATTATTAAAATTGATAAATTTTAGACACCTACTTTTGGATCATCGGGATGCGTTAAAATAGGAGGTAAACTATTCCAAGAGAAGAGTTTTACTGCTCCTATCTCACAACCGTCGCTCAACTCTTCAATAACTGGCTAGATACAATCAAAAATTCATTAATTATTTTAATTACACTGAGAAAAAAAAATACTTCTTTTAAGAATTTATTTTCTTGACTCAAGAAGTTGTCTGAAGAATTTTTTCTTCTCTGTAAAATAAGTAAAATAATTTTATTTAATTCAAGTGAAGCTATTTGATTATTTCTTTATAAAGATATTGATTTTTTTTGGTCAAAAAATTAATATAATAAATTTTTTATTTTAACAAATTCTTCAATCAAGAAATCCTAGGAATAAAAATTAACTACAAAAATATAACCTTGCTTATCTTCGCACCGCAAGACTCAAAATATTTAGCAGCAAGTCGAATAGATTGTCTGATATCTTCATCTACAGAAGAAACACCGAAATTATTTTCAATATCTTCCAAGTAATAAACATGGAGTTTTTTGACGTCAACCGGTTCATCAAGACGCAAATTAGTCTTGCAATTTTTCGTCATCACTTTGACTGCCATGTGAAGATCCTCTGCAAATCTGGTCATTGGCCCAAACGTTCCATACTGAGAAAATCCATTGCCTTCTACTGTCGGAAAATATTCTTCCATTGGAACTATTCCTAAATAAAAACTAAATGAATTATAGCTAAAAAAAAAATTTATCTTTTTATAAAAATTTATTTGATAATTACCAGGGGTCGGTTTATGCCCAAAAACACCATTGAATAGTGCTGGTATTCTAATAGACCCAGAAAGATCTGATCCAACACCAATAATAGATGCTCCGGCTCCTAATAAAGCGCCCTAATAATTACAAATGATAAATAATTAATTTAATAAATACTAGCAACCTTGCAGTCATTGTGTGACTGCCCTGACTTGTAAACTATAAATAAATAAAATTTTGCTTGATTAAATAATTACTTTTGTTAAATTGCACTGTAATTTTTTAAAAATTGACGTTTTTAAAAATATAAGCTCATCCCGATGTTACACTCATCAAGAGCTTTCATTTGAGTACCCACATGCATTTTGATATATTTTTCATATATACATATATATATAATATATATATAAATATATGAAAAATTGATGTGGGTACTCAAATGAAAGGTCTTGATGAGTGTAACATCGGGATGAGCTTATATCTTTAAAAATGTCAATAGTTCACGAGATACAGAGTAATTTCTTAATTATGTATCTAGAGATAAAGCATTTCCGAATGCAGCCTAAATACTTATCACCATAAATTGACTATCGGTAAGAATGATATAAAATTTTGAAAAGGAACAAATTCAAATCAAGATCTTTGCAAAGACACTAAATTTAACTAAAAAAAACCGATTTTATCATATAAATACACTGGCCACAAAATTTTGCTTATTCTCTTAAAAATATAGATCTGTAAATAAATTTTCTCACTTCGCCACCAGAAGAACCACCAGCAGTCCGTCTTCTATCATACGGATTAACAGTAGTGCCGTAAAGTGGATTGGTACACTCAAAACCATAACACAATTCCGGCGTATTTGTAACACAAAGAGGAATAGCACCAGCCTCGCGCATATTTTTGACAACTACACTGTCTTCATCAGCCTTGACACCGGAAAGAGCTAATGTACCTGCTGTGTAACTAAGCCCTAAAAGAAAAAAAATAGTCCTCGAGCACTCAGCGTAATGGACGCGAAGAACAATGTCAAGGACATACCTTTGAGACTGCAGCTTTCTTTAACAGTGAATGGGACACCGTAGAAAGGTTTTTCCAATTGAAGCTGCATTGGTGTAACAACCCCCGCCTCAAGCATTTTGTCACAGTGTCGGGCTTCGCGTAAAGCATCTTCAAATCGGTCATCTATTACCGCGTTAAGATAAGGGTTTACTTCTTTTATTCTCTCGATGTACGCTTCTACTACGGACTCACTTGATATCTAAAAAGTTTATTAATTATTTTAAAAGCCGCAAGTGCAATTAATAGTTGTAATTATTTTATTTAATAAACTTACTTGTCCTAATCTTATTTTTTTAGCCAATTCGCAAGCAGTGAGATCAAACAATGAGTCTTTAGACGGCGGAATACTTGCCGGTTTTATGCAGTCGCGGTACCAAAAAAGTGGCTTCAAAAGAACCAACAGCTTGGCTGAAAGCCACGTCAAACATCGCAGTATCAATTGCATTTTTATATAAACTGAAATAGCTATTTTACTTTTTATCGGCTACAATTCGATTATAATCGTTAGATTACGTAAAAAATATTTCTATTCCACGCTATTGAATAATATGTAATAGATTTATCAACTTAAGATTTTGTGTATTGATAAAATTACTTTATCAAGATTATGAAGCAAAAAACTGAAATATTTGATATTTAAAGGTTCCATCAATTTTTTGTATATTTTTTAAAAATTTTTTATTGACATAAGATAAAAAAAAATTGATAAAACTCTTAAAGGCAAATTTTAAAATTGTTCGTAAATTTTAGCATTGTTGCACCAAAAAAATGGTCTCTAAAGAAATAAAATCTTCTAAAAATCATCTTATGTGTCGTAGAATCAATTCCATTTTCTTTTTTGTCAGAATATATTTCTGTAATTTTTTAAGCGTTAAAGAGAAGAAATAATATAGAAATATTTTTATAAAATAATTGAATCAGAAACAATGAAGAAATATGTGTCAACGTTGATACTTGATATATTTCGTCAATACATCCCGGTTAATTTAATATTTTTTATTGATACAAGATAAAGAATTGATAAATGTCATAAATTTTAAATTTAACATGTCAATGATGATGCACTGTATCAAGCTTAATTTTAAGCAATGCGTTATGCAATTGTAATGAATGTAATTAAATATTTAAATTGTGATATACATATCGAATTATCCATTAAAAGGATGATGAGCTGAATAAATATGATGATACTCTTAATTTTCAAATAAACTACCGTTCTTTTATGTTTAATCAATAATTTCATGATAATAAAAATCTTACGCTGATGGATTTTTGGGCTAAAATAAAACAAAAATTTTGCATATTTATGCTTTTATATATTTGTACAAATATTACAAAATAAATCTCTATTATAATTATAACTAATTGATTTTAAACTAAAACTTTTGTTGGTGGAATCCAGCCCCCAAATGCTTTTTCCAATTCTTTCGCTACTGCTAAGCCCAGTCTGTCTTGATGAGGTGCTGCAATCACCTATTAATTCATTCAGTAATAAATTATGTGTTAATGTTTACTAGTTAATTATTTCATTCATAAAATTAACGCTTCATACCTGAAATCCTATTGGTAAGCCCTGTTTATTTAAGCCCATTGGTACTTGAGTCGATGGTAGTCCAAGAATATTGCAAAGAACGCTAAATACACCAGAGATTGTTAGAAAAACGCATTGGCCTACTGGTGGGGCTGGGCTTATGAATGTTGGGAAGAATAGCACGGAATTTTCATCCAAAATTTCCTGTTAAAGTACAAAAAACAGCTTTATTATTTACAAACTACATAAATGTTGCTGTACATTTTCGGTAATGTTTAAATAACAGTCTTGAGAATTTGGACAATAAATGAAGATGTTAAATTATGAGAATTGCAACGTTTTGCTGATTTATTTCAGCTTCATCCGGCAAATCTTATGGTTAGCATCCTCGTCTAGTTTTTACAAAGTCAATAGATGTAATACACAGAAAAAAAAAATGTTCTTGAATCAAATATATAATTTTGAAGAACTTTATCTTCTTGATTTAAATAAAAAAATTCTTAAACTAAGAAATTTTTACTTTGTTTAAGAAAATTTTACTTGATTCAAGAATTTTTCGTCTCGATTCAAGACAATTACCCTCTTCAAAATTATTTTCTTAGTTCAAGAATTTTCTTCTCGAATCAAGTTAATTTTTTTTTTCAATGTAGAGTAAAACAGCATATTCATAATCTTAATTTTTTTTTAATTACACTATTAACAACTTGTTTAAATTTCTCTCAAATACCATTCAAATTAATAAATTAATAAGATAAAATAAAATTCAACGTCTGTCGGTCAAGTGTGTTTACAACTTAAGATTTGCCTGATGAAGCTGAAATAAATCAGCGAAACGTTGCAATTCTCATAATTTAACATCTTCATTTATTTTTATAGATATTCTCTGACGTAAGTCATTAAAATTTTATTGTTCATTTATTGTCCAAATTCCCAAAATGAAGTTATTTAAATATTTAAAATATGAACGAGAACTTAAATATCAATTTTTGGTAATGTTTAAAAAATATACTTACCAAAAGTTTCTTTTGCAATTGTTTAAACTTTTCTTCATACGTTGGAAATTGAGATTCAGGAACAAATCCATGGATTTCTTTAACCATGGCCATAAATATCGCAGATTTAGAATACGATGAACAGCCTACTGTTGCTTTTAACAATTCCAAAAATGGATTTACTTTTCCCTATCAACAAAATTAAATAATTAATGACTTATATTATAATTTTCATTCTGAAATAATTTATACACATACTTTGGGGTCAGTTGGATGCATCAAAATTGGTGGTATAATACTCATTGAAAAAAGTTTCGTTATTCCAATCTCACAAGCATCGCTTAACTCTTCAATTACAGGCTAAAAAAATCGTCAAATAACTCATTAGACCTCGATTAATTTAAAAATATGCACTGATAAAAGATTAATTTGATTTAAGAGAAAAATTCTTGAATCAAGAACATCATTTTAAAAAATTTAAGTATCTTAAATTAGGTAAAGTTTATTTAAATTAAAAATAATTTATAAAATCAAAAATTTTACTCAAGTTAATTTTTGTCAGTGTATAATTAAAAATATTTACCTTGGTAATTTTTGCACCACAACTTTCAAAATGCTTAGCAGCATCTCGAATCGACTTTCTGATGTCTTCATCAACAGGAGGAATACCATAATTGTTTTCGATGTCTTCCAAGTAGTAAACATTGAGTTTTGAAATGTTTACCGATTCATTAAGGCGTAAATTTGTCTTACAGTCCACAGACATTACTTTCACAGCCATATGAAGATCCTCTGCAAATCTAGTCATTGGACCTAATGTCAAATAGTGTCGAAATTCATCACAATCCTCCATTGGAAAATGTCCGTCAATTGGAATTATTCCTAAAAAAAAAAAGAAAAATTTATAATAACAATAAAGTTAATGAAAATTAAGTTAGACGACATTTAAAAATTTTTAGAATTTTTTTTCATTGAAAAAATTATAACAAAAAAATTTTTTTTTAATTTTATTTGTAAAAAACTTTAAGTATAATTTAAAAAAAAAATATTTTTTTGTTTCAATTTAATAAATCAAAGAAAAATTTTTAAATTAAAAACATTTTTAATTTTTTGATTTTGCTTCATTTATTAAATTGAAACTAAACAATATTTTTTAAAAAATTGCATTTATAGTTTTTCAGATTTTTTACAAATGAAATTTTTTTTTTAATAATTTTTCCAATAAAATAAATTCTAAAAATTTTTTGATGTCGGCTTACTTAATTTTCATCAAAATTCATAAGATTTAATCTTAAATAAATTAAAAAAATTGTATATTATCATAAAAATAATTACCAGGAGTTGGTTTGTGTCCAAAAATACCATTAAATTGCGCAGGTATTCTTATTGATCCACCAATATCTGATCCCACACCAATAACAGACGCTCCAGCACCCAACAAGGCACCCTAAAATTCATCAATGTAGAGTTTTTGGACTAAACAATATTAAAAAAAAAAAAATTAAGGCTGAGTACTTACCTCGCCACCAGAAGATCCTCCAGCAGAATGTCTTCCATCATAAGGATTAACAGTTAGGCCATAAAGTGGATTGGTACACTCAAATCCAGAACACAATTCCGGCGTATTCGTAGCACAAAGAGGAATAGCGCCAGCCTTGCGCATACTTTTGACAATAAGACTGTCGTCATCGGCCTTGATTCCGGAACGCACTAAAGTACATCCCGTGTAACTAAGCCCTAAAAGAAGAAAATAGTCCTCGAGTACTCAGCGTAATGGACGCGAAGAACAATGTCAAGGACATACCTTTGAGTCCGCAGCTTTCTTTAACAGTGAATGGGACACCGTAGAAAGGTTTTTCCAATTGAAGCTGCATTGGTGTAACAACCCCCGCCTCAAGCATTTTGTCACAGTGTCGGGCTTCGCGTAAAGCATCTTCAAATCGGTCATCTACTACCGCGTTAAGATAAGGGTTTACTTCTTTTATTCTCTCGATGTACGCTTCTACTACGGACTCACTTGATATCTAAAAAGTTTATTAATTATTTTAAAAGCCGCAAGTGCAATTAATAGTTGTAATTATTTTATTTAATAAACTTACTTGTCCTAATCTTATTTTTTTAGCCAATTCGCAAGCAGTGAGATCAAACAATGAGTCTGTAGACGGCGGAATACTTGCCGGTTTTATGCAATCGCGGTACCAAAAAAGTGGCCTCAAAAGAACTAACAGCTTGGCTGAAAGCCACGTCGCAATTCGCAGTATCAATTGCATCTTTTACATAAATAGAAATAGCTATGTTACTTTTTATCGGTTGAAATCCGACAATGATTGTAATTAAGTTACGTAATAAGGATTTCTTCCTCTCACGCTATCGAATACCGCTTCTATTAATCCTTCAACTTTATACTCTGCGTGCATATAATATAATAATAAAATACATCAGAAATCCGAAGAAATAAATTCTGACAATTGACATTGAAAAATTCCATTAATTTACAGTGGCTATTTTGAAATTTTTTATTTACACGAGATAAAAAATTGATTAAACGCTTAATGTAAATTTTAATGTTCGAATTATTATTGCGCTGCAATAAGTATTTTATGTTATATGTAATACTCTCTGTATTGAATGAAATGCGATATATTGCCGTTACTTCCCCATGGAAAAATATATATATATGGAAAATATATGCGAACATATATTTTCACATACATTTTTTTGTGCTAAATATATGCAAACTTATATTCCGCGATAGATAATAGAATATATGTCTACATATACGCTCGCATATATAAATATATATGTCCGCATATATGTTAACATATATGCGCGCATATAAATACAATATATATGTAGATATACACAGAAAAAAGTATAACTTGAATCAAGTAAATAATTTTGAAGAATTTCACCTTCCTGATTTGAGAAAAAAAATTCTTAAATTAAGAAATTTTTTTTCAGTGTATGCCTACAGCATATATGTCTAATACTAGTCTACTAGGGTGGGCTAAAATGCAACTTCCTTGATGGACCTCTAAAAATAACAATTTTGAATTCCGCTTTTAACAGGAGTTGTGTTTGGGTATTTCCTGACATATTTTGAGCGTCAGAAATTTATTTGATTTTTATAGAATTTTTTAACAAGAGTTTTGTTTAGGCATTTTTGCTGAAATTTCAAAATTTCGCCAAACAAAACTTAAAATTCCAATTTTAAGAGGTCCATCAAGGAAGTTACATTTTGCCACACCCTAGCCATTGTCTACATATATTTTTGCATATATGCTTACATGTATGTCTACATGTATTCGGCTGCCCAATTTTAAAACACAGTAACTGCAAAATTTTTATACCTGATTTTTTTTTTAGTACTGCTGCATTTCTTTTAACTTTTAGACCTTAATTTCAAATATTTTTTCTTAAAAATTTTTATATTCAAGTATTTTCTATCCATAAATCAAATTTTTTATCAATTTGGCGCGCAAACTCTTTTTTAATAAGAAAAATTTTTAAAAATCTCAAAATTGTCAGTTACTGTGTTTTGAAATTGAGCAGCCGATATGTCAGCATCTATATGAAAAATATATAAATCCTTTCATCCACCAAGACTATGATGGGTGAAGCAATTGTGACAAAACATGCCATAAAAACTATCACGGTGGTCGTTGAAGTAGACTTCAACTCGATTTCATTTTTTTAACTTTCTAGTTTTATTAATAATTCCCACTTCCGTTAATTTTTAAAAATTAACTCAAGCAAAATTTTATAAATATAAGCCAATTTGAGTAAATATACTCGAGGAAGCTAATAGATATAATTTCAAGCTTATAAAATAATGAGTTAGCTATTAAAGCAGTATTTTAAAATAAGATAATCACGATGGACTTTTATGGTTTGTGAAAATCGACATTTAACCTGAATACCGCGTTTAAATTGTAAAAGTAACACTGGTAGACATATATAATATATAAATTACAAGTTTAACAAACTCTTACTCAAGGATATGTGTATTAATCTTTTTTTTTTTCTTTTTTAATTAATAACACACACCTATAAGTATTTCCTCTTTGCATTTATAATTACAGAATAATGAATCGAATTTCTATCAATAATTTTTTGCAATAAAACCTTGATCCTACTATACTACTTACTATTATTATTATTTTTTTAATTGCGCATATTATCTATTACAATGTTATAAACAATTTTTTATTTTGACCGCTTGTAAGTTTACTGATTAAAAGAATTTTTTTTAATCTATCAATTGAATTCCATTAATCGCTTTTAAATGAGTTTGAATATTCATTATCTTTTGTTTATTACTTACAATTATAAATACCAAAAAAAACTCAGCCTTGAAATTTTTTTTGAATACTTGAAGAAGAATATTGATAAGATTTTTTGTAAAAATTAAAAATATTTTGTGTTAATTTATAAAATATTTGTAAAAATAAAATTTATCGCAAAGAAGAAATAAAAAAAAAATAAATTTTTATTAAATAAAAAATAATTACTTACGATTTTTGTTTAATTTGCCGCTCAGGGAAGAAAAATTAATAACAATTTAATTGAAGTAAAAATGAAGACGATAAATATTTAAATAATAAATAAAATAAGCAATTTAAATAAATAGAAGTGGATAAAATAAATCTCGAGTTGTAACTGGTTGTAAATGAATGTATGTAAAAGAAGGTAGTGATCTCCCACTTGTTTGAATGTCCACGATCAAGTCTGGACCAGAAATAAAATGAATCAAGTTACATACAAGTTAAATTACCCGACACAACACAACTATCGAATCGTGTCTCCCACAACGTGCGATTACAGACTGACCGGTTCTTCTGATTATGGATGGCAAACGTACATTATGTGTATAAAGCCGATTACAGACCGCCCAGTCATAACATAAGTAAAACAAAAAGTTGATTATAAATAACTTTATAAGTAATGAAACGTTTTTTGCTAATTTATCCATCGGGACCTCGACATTCGACCTAATGGCTTGAATATTCTAATTTTAATCTACATTTTATCGAATCGCAACAATTTCCGTATGTTATCCACATTATTTATTTATTATCAAACTGTCAAATCTGAAGAAAAATATTTTAATTCCGGACATTTTATTGAAAGTTTTTATAATTACAATATAAATATTGGTCGGGTCAATGTTTAAAAAATTTTAATAATTTAAAGTTCACTTGATAACAAAGTTCAGAATAATCACCAGTACTTGAAAAAATAATTTTAAATTATTGTTATTTTTAATTAATTTATTTTTTTATTAATATAAGAGAATCACAAAAATTAATAAATAATTAAAAAAAAAATTATAATAATGAATGTTACTTTTAATTGACAGTTTAGTTTTTCTAGATAAAAAATTTATCTACATTCTTAATATTTAGGCTATCAATTATAATTGACAAGCAATAACTTAATTAATTACAAATTTATCTTAGTGTATGGCTTTGTTAATACAAATTATTTTTTTATAGAAAATTTATAATAGTAAAAATGTTTATCGTACGATGGAATATAAAGTTAATGCACTCTTATCGTACACATCACAGATTTGTATTATTTTAATCACGATTTAATAGAGGTAGAAATTACCACTTTATCCTACAAAAAATCACTTGAAAATAATTTTCACAAGTTATTTTAATTCACTTTTATAAATCAAATTTAGTGTCGAATTATCGAAGCTTTTTGATTGATTTAGTATGCATTGAATTAATTTAAATACTTTTTTTTCGTTGTAAATATAATTAATTTAAATACTTTTTTTCGTTGTAAATAGAATTAATTTAATATCAAACTTGTTTTTAACAACTTGGTGGTGGTTTCCAGCCGCCAAAAATTCGTTCGACTTCTCGCGCTACGGCGATTGTCAAATGATCTTGTCCTATATTTCCAACAACCTGTTATTTATAAACAAAAATATTATATACTTGTAATTTTATTTTTAAAATTTTTTAAAATAATAATTTTGAAATAAAAGTACCTGAAATCCAATAGGAAGACCATTTTTATTAAGCCCAACAGGACATTGAGTTACAGGAAGGCCGATTGCATTGAAGATCATCATATAAGTAACATTACAAACTCTTGGATAAATTTCATAAGGATAATGAGGCCCATCAATAAATGTCGGGCATATTATAACGCCATTATCACCAAGAATATCCTGTAAATAAATATTAGATAAGTTTATTGCTTGCAATTATAAAAATACTCTTACACAGAAAAAAAAAATTAATTTGAATCAAGTAAATAATTTTGAAGAATTTAATTTTCTTGGTTTGATTAGAAAAATTTTATGAAAATTAGTTTAGCATATATTTAATAATTTTAAGAATTTTATAATGAATTATGGCAAAAAAAAATTAGATAAAAAATTGACATGTATAAATTTTAAAAAATTGAAAATGCAATTTTTTAATAATTATTTATTTATACAAAATAATAAAACTCTTATAAATTATTTTTTTAGTTCAAAAATTTTTTTCTTGATTCAAGTTAATTTTTTTTTTCAGTGTAGGGTAAATGCACCAGTTGTTGACCGGTCACCAACTAGTTGACCGATGTATAAAAAAGTTAATTAATTAATATTTTACAAGGGTTTTTTTTTTTTCTTAAAGTATTAAAATAAAACAATATGGCATTTAATCATCATAATAAAAAATTACGCAATTAATTGGGCAGTGATTATAGCTTTAAAAAAATATTGTGAGTTTGTTTACAACGGAACCAGCCATAAAGCGGTCAAAAATAACTAGCGTACAATTGGAGAGTGAGAGCATTTCATCATTAATTTAGTGATATTTATCGGCATAATATAAAATATTTTAGTTTTATTATGTTAATTAAAGATCAGATTCCAACTTTTTTGAAAAAATAAAGTTAAATTATAAGTTTTAATATTATTTTAAGACCGGTCAACTATTGGATCCGTCAGAAGCCATTTACCCAGTAAAAAATTCATCCGGTCATTTATTAGACCCTCTGATTTTATCACAACCCAATTAATTTCTTCGGTCAATAATTGGTGATTTTAGTATTTCAAGATTCAAATAACAAAATTAATATAATTTTGTTAATTTTTATTATAAATAGTTATTAATTATTATTAATTAAGTATTTAACTTTAATAAAATCCATTACAAATTGTTTCTAGTAGGTTAATAGATTTTTTATAGCTTAGTAGAGAAAAAGAAAACCTTAATCGGTCAATAATTGGTGCATTTACCCTACATATTAAAGAAATTACCTGAAATTGTCTCTTAATTGACTCATTTTTTTCATGTAACCAATTGAAATGATTTTTCGGAAACGAATCGGTTATTTTTTTGAGCAAGCCGTAAAAAAGACTGCTGACGGAATGCGAAGATCTGCAAGTTGAATACCTCAATATCTCTCCAAGAACGCTTTTCCATTTCTAATGCATAAATAAATTATTACAGGTTTGATAATTAAAAATAAATAGATAATAATAATAAATATTATATAAAATGGTGATAGAAAAATTTTAACTTACTAAAGGAGCGTTTGTTTCTTCATCGAAAACAGTATCAACACCTTCCAGTTTAAGAAGCATAGTTGATGATGCTTCAAAAGCATACTTAAGATCCGGTATATCAGCCTAAATTTTTCTTTAATTAGAAATTTTACTCAACAACAAATAGAAAAAAAAAGTCATACCTTGTGAGTTTTAATTCCTTGAGAGCTTTCCAAATGTTGAATAAACTTGTGAATACCGGTTATTATTTCAGAATTTATTTTGTGAGTAAGAAATGATGGTATTTCTTCAAAGTAGTAGAAATTAATATCCTTGATATTAACCTAAATCAATTCATTTACATTTAAAAATAATCAATTTTTAAGAATTTTAATATTTACTTGCTCATTGGTATGCGAAATAGCAACATCCGACTGCATCATTATTTTCAAAAAAAAGAATAGGTCGTCAGCGTATCTAACCATTGGCGCAAGGGTCAGAAATGAAGGCCACATTGGATCTGCTGAACCTGGCATGTGTCCGTCAGTTGAAACCCATCCTGGAATAAAATAAATTTTATTTAGGCTGCATTCGAAAATGCTCTATCTCTAGATACTTAATTAAGAAATGACCTTGTATCTGGTGAACTATTGACATTTTTAAAGATATAAGCTCATCCTGATGTAACTCTCATCGAGACCTTTCATTTGAGTACCCACATCAATTTTTCATATATTTTATATATATATATTATATATATATGTATATATGAAAAATATATCAAAATGCATGTGGGTACTCAAATGAAAGCTCTTGGTGAGTGTAACATCGGAATGAGCTTATTTCTTTAAAAACGTCAATATTTAAGAAAGTACAGTGCAATTTGACAAAAGTCATTATTTAATAAAGCAAAATTTTAATTTATCATAGTTCACAAATCACAGTAGTCACATTGTGACTGCAAGGTTGCTAGGAATATTTACTTTTATAGAATAAATTGACGCTATAATTTTACCTGGAGTCGGTTTGTGCCCGAAAACTCCACAGAACATCGCTGGAAGTCTTGCAGAGCCGCCAATATCAGAGGAGAGACTCAGCAATGAAGCCGCTGACCCGAGAAGCGCTGCCTAAAGTAAAACAAAATATTTAAGTGACGATGAATTGCGAAACATTAGACAAAATATTTAAAAGACATTCATCGGTCTTTACATTGCAAATGAACGAGACGGCAAAGAGAAAGTCGTAAAAGTTTAAGTGACGTAAATTTTTGAGTATCGTCAAAAGAAATAATAAAAGAAGCTACAACTTTCTCAGATATTTTTATATCTGTCGTTTCATTACTCATCAAAACGTTGAAATATTTACAGATTTTAATAAAATATTTAAATATTAATTAACAATCATGATTGACATTTCAATTAAAATTTATTTGTTCGACATTGCAATTGCAGAATCCCGGAAAAAATATTATAAAATAAAAATTATAATAATAATAATTTTTTTTTGTAACAAGAAATGGAGCTATCATTCTGGGGGTGCTTGTTTTTCAGGAAAATTGTGGATTATTATTATTATTATTATTTTTTTTTTTTATTTTATAATAATTTTAATGAAATACTATGAATTTTTAATTAATTAAAAATTTTTTCCGGTCTATTTTTTACAATTACCGTAATTGCAATTATCATTAAATTAATTTTAATTATAATATTTATTGATACAAATAGAGGAATACCTCCCCTCCAGAAGAACCACCAGATGTTCTCCGTGTATCATATGGATTCAATGTTGTGCCGGTCACGTTGTTATAAGTCTCCCAACACATGCACATCTCTGGGGTATTACTAACAAGGATAATTATACCACCGGCTCTTCTGACACGTTGGACTGCGTCCGCGTCACATAGTGCGATTGCTGGTTCCTTCGTTTCACGTCCAGCAGCATGACTCATTCCTGAAAATTTTATAGGTAATTAATTATTAATAATTAAATTAGCAACTAATTGTCACATAAAAAATTCAAGGGTTGTTTTAAAAACTAAAAAAATTAGTTTTTTCACAAAAAATTTTTTTTTCTTTGACTGCAAATATTTTACCCTAGTACTTTTTACCTAAATAAAGAATAAATAATAAATAAAAAAAAAATATAATTATAATTTATAACAAATAATGTTTCGACATTTTCAACGAGGAAAGAGACACCGTTTTAGATTAATCAACATCTATTATCGTCAATTCCAGTCAACAAGCAGTAGCTCGATCTCCGAGCTAAATTTAACAAGCCTACGGATCAAGTCCGCTGATGATAAATTGTTCTTATTGCACGCAACATTCATCTATATACATGTATCTACATTGTAGGGACATGTCTCGTGTTAAGCACGACAAAAGTCATCTAATCAAAATAATTACACTGATACTCGCCCGACAAGTGTCTCACGATTTCTATGACCTATCATTAATTTAATCAATCTAATGGATTTCAAATTAGGCCATCATTAATTGATACATTCAATGAAGTTTGAAAAATTGCCGTTCGGGTTATGAATATTCAATTACTCCATTAGTGTTTGGAAGAAATATTTAAAGTTCTCCGTATTAGTTTTTTTTTTTTTTAAATATTATAAAGTACACAAGACAAAGTGCAGTCTTTATTTGTTTTAAAATACTTTTTTTTTTTTTTTTTTTTTTCATAAGAATTTTCTTACTTTCTTGAATTTCATGAATTTTATTATTAAAAATTTTTTCTATTGCATGTAAATTCAGACAAAGTACTAGAAAAATATTATTGAACATAAAAAATTGATTTATGTAAATTTATATTTTTATTTTATAAATTTAATATTTATAATAAATTTTATTTAATAGTTTTCTTCATAAATCTTTGAATAATTTTATTTAATGCTTTTCTTCATAAATTTTTTAATAATTTTATTTAATGTTTTTTTTTTATTTAATATAATTTATAATTTCTTCTTTCAAATTTTAAAAAAATTTTATAAATTTTTTTAATTTATCTTCTCTTTGCAGATGTTATGTACTGTATAAAATTATTATTATTAAACATTATACACATGAAAATGTAACATATTTTTGTAAATTACCAAGAGCGTTTTTTTATAAATAAAAAAAAAATAAATAAATATAAAAAATTGCCGACATGTAATTTTAAAGATATAAAAAATTAAAGTGTTTATAAATATAAAAAAAAAATTAGATAAAATTTTCTCCTATTTGAACTAATTTTAATAAAAATAAACCCAAATAAATATTAAATCATATATAATAAAAACTTGAATCGATTAAATTTAATAGATACTTTCTTCAATCACTATCTGACTTGATTAATGTCAAAACTTTCATCGAAGAAATGTATTTTCAATATTATAATCAAATTAGCATCTTACAACTCTAAATAAGTTATAAAATAAATAATAATTATTTATAAATTAACTACTAACACAACATAAAAGCAATAAAATAATTGATTACCTTCAACAGCGATACTTTCTTTAACAGTGACGGGAATACCAAGAAGTGGAGTATCTCGAGCCAGTAGTTCTTCAGACCTGGTCCCGGATTTCACAAGCAGATCGACTTCACGTGCTTCCTTGATTGCAGCTTCGAACCGATTTTCCACTATAGCATTTAGCACTGGATTTACTTCTAGACATCGTTCTATGTACGCTCTTACTATTTCTTCACTGGTTATCTATTCACCGAGCCATAAAAAAATAAACAATTATTTGCTTAGCCAATAGAAAATGTCATAAGTCATAAGTAAAAACTAACAATACCTCTTTTCTGCGTATTCTTCTTGCTAATTCATTAGCAGGAATAAATAATAATTTATTAGAAATAGCTGGGCAGCGATTTATTTTTTTAAAAGCTGCTAATTTTAAAAAAGGCGTCACTGCACATGATACGATAAATACAAATGATTTTATGAATACTTTCATCGCACCATTTACAAACTCCTGTGTAAAAAAAATACATATTTTTAAAATAAAATTAAGATAAATATTCTTCAATGAATTTCTAATAATATTACAATTTAAAATTAGAAATTCAATGTCAAGGTTACGATAATTATAAATTATTACACGCGTGTTAACTTACCGCGTAATCAAACCGTCTTATATTAACATACAATAGAGTTAATCCAGATAAAGCTAATTCCATTTTTATTTTTTATTTATCTATTTGTTTATATTAAAAAAAAAAAAATAATTTTAACACTTTTTAAAAATAACACTTAATTATTTATCTATTTATTTAATTATTATTTATTTTATCTAGCTGTAAGTATATTTTCCAATTTTTAATTTACTTTAATAATATAAAAATTAATTATTATTTCAGGGAAGAAATGTTGAAGAACTAAAGACCAGAATTTCTTAATCTGTTACATGTTGCAATGTCACTGATACATTGGAGAACTTGTTTGGAGCAAAAAAAGTGGATTAAAAATCGATAACAAGTTTAAGCACGACAATCATCAATTAGGTAACTTTAGATTTAATGCGTATAGCAAACTAGTTATTATATATTAGATAATAATTGGTTGTATCTTATTGCAGGTTTTTTTCTTTGTAACAGAGATATTTCTTCGGAGCGAAGATGATAGTGACTACAGGTCATCTGGATGGGTGTAAGATATTTAAAGAGCAAAGATGATATATATGTAGTGCGTTATGGACAACTCTGTCAATGCGCTGATATGTACAGCTTGAATAGTATGAATAGAAGACTAGTGGGGGCCATACACAATGTTAATATGCCATGCCAATACCACTAAACCGCAAACCTTGGCAGATTATGAAATGAAATGTAAAAGATACCGGTGTGTTTAATAAGTCAAACCAGCACTCTTAAACCTATTGTGCATAATTTATTTACAGAAGATATATCTTCATTAAGTCAATCGATTGAGTTGTAAATATATTGAAAATATTTATGCAATATCTTCAAAAATTATGCGACAGAGTTTTTGTTTTAATAACTGCAAGTTTTAAGTTAATTTTTATAAAATTTCAATTATGATTAAATGAAAGTTTTTTTTAAATATTAAGTCAATTTTAAGTTAAAAAACTTTATTTAATAAGTATTTAAATATTTAAAAAATATTTATGCAATATCTTCAAAAATTATGCGACAAAGTTTTTTTTTTAAATAACTGCAAGAGTTTTAAGTTAATTTTTATAAATTTTTAATTAATATAATTAATGAAGCTATAATTAAATGTTTTTTTTTTTTAATTATTAAGTCAATTTTAAGTTAAAAAAACTGTATTTAATAAGTTACACCTCCATTCTTTTAAGCCTATTGTGCATAATTTATTTACAAAAGATATATCTTTATTAAATCAATCGATTGAATTGTAAATATACTAAAAATATTTATGAAAATAAAGTTAGCCGGCATCTAAAAATTTTTATAATTTTTTTTATTATAAAAAAATTAAAAAAAAAAGTTTCAATTGTAAAAAAATTCAAAAACTATAAGTGCAATTTTTTCAAAATATTTTTTAGTTTTAATTTAATAAATTAAGCAAAATCAAAAATATCGGGTTACTTTATTATAATAAAATATTTATATAATATCTTAAAAAATTATGCGACAAAGTTTTTGTTTAAATAACTGCAAGAGTTTTAAGTTAATTTTTATAAAATTTTAATTAATACAATTAATTATAATTAAATGTTTTTTTTTAATTATTAAGTCAATTTTAAGTTAAATTTTTTTTTTTTTTATTTTATTTACAATCTAGTTTTTTTAATTGAGTGATTAAATGCGTTAATCTTTTTTTCTTCTTTTTTCAGAGGTAGAATAGTTATGAGAAGTTGCATAATTAATTAATGCAATGCGTAATTTGCGATAAATCGATAGACTTCAAGTGACTTGAGCTACTGAGTGTAAAGAGAGAAATGATTAATAGAATTTATAGAAGGGAAGGCTACTTTAACGTGTGTATTTTATAACGCTATATGCAGGTGTAAATTTTTTTAGTGCTAAATTATCTGTCACGCCTTCTGTTTAACTGAAATATTGCTCAATAGTAAAATAAATAGATTTTAAAATAATACTTGCAAACACTCGTTAAAATGCACTCGCGAAAAAATTTTTTAAGTAAATTGTTTGAACAAAATAAATTTCTAAGTAATATTCTTCATTGTACAAGCAATTTTATACTGGCAATAATTTAGTAGGACAATTTGCTTGTTAGACTGCGGCGGTGTATTATACTGTTGAGGTAACTAACTGATAAAATAGTGCAATTGTCTTTTTGAGGATAAAAAAAAAAAAAAGATAAGACATCGATAGTTGATAAACAAAAAGTAGTTTAATTGTTGGAATAATTGACTTAGGAAAAATTATAAGTCTGAAGTTTAAGTTCTAGGCAAATAAGTAAACATGTATTTCAATTTAAAGTGCAATTGAATCATTATAATGACAAAAAATCTATAAAATGCAATATTGTTTTCTTAAAAACTCTTTTGTAAATTTACAATGATCCTTAGAAGGTAATTTTTAAAATCTTGAACGTTTTTTAGCAAACACTTTACGTCATACTCATGCTTTATGTATTAGCGGTTAAATAATATTGTCTTTTGTACTGAAAAATCTCTTGACATTGAAAAAAAAACTTAAATTTAAGCGAATTAGTTACAGCAAAATTTATTCAAAAGTTCATTCTTATTCAACAGATTAGTATTTTTTTGTGTTATTAATTATAAATTATAATAATCAATGTATATGTTGACTAAAAAACTTATTTATTCTTATGCTAAATATTGATTGAAGTTTACTTACCATTATGGATTTTAAAATGAATTAATTTCATGCGAATTAATTTAATAGAGGTAAACTGTCAATTGATTTCTTCTCGTTGCAATTTTGCGCTTCACTTTTTTCTCTCTTCTTCAATGAAATCACTGATTTTTTAATAGCGAGTGAGTGAAATGAAAAAAAGGTCAGAAATTAAAAGCACACTTTAGGATCATAATTTAAAAAAATAATGGGGGTGAAGAAAAGAATAATGAGCCACGTGTGGCGAATAACTGGTCAAAGACCGGAATACTTTATTTAAAATAAGTTATCGAGTTATCCGAACCCGGTGAATGGTTCGCGACGACTGAAATTATGTAGGAAGAAGAGAGAAAAAGGCTTCTATAAAGTTTGCCGTACAACAAACCAAGTGGGGCGACCACAATAGCAACTGAGAGAAAAGAAACGCTTTCTTGGCTTCATTATTTCACCTATTAGTACGTTTATCGTCCATGACTTAATTATTATTATGAATTATGACTATTCCGATTATTAATTATTTATTTCATCCATAACGTTGTTCCACAACAAATTATCTCAGTCAATGTTTTATACTCGCTCTCTGATGTCATTGTCTGGATAAATACACATTTTTTATTAAATAAACACTCAATTAACGATACTGAATTGATAATGTTTTCTTCTTTTATTTTAACTTTTTGACAGATGTCAGCTGAAAAAATTATTTTAAACAAACAATTGAATCAAAGGAACATTTACAAATTTTAAAAAATAAATCTAATATATTATATCGAGCCATTGTTTAATTTTATTTGAAAAAAATACTATTTACATTGCACAGATATCACTATTAATCGTTAACGCGAAATAACGATTTGTTTTTACAGAAGATAAGCAATTTGACGCATTTTTTTACCATACCATTAAATTTGAGCCTCTATTTCGTTTACTCAATTATTTTAAAATTCAAGTAAACTCATTAAAACTTTCTTCTTTACTTTTATAATTTTAGAACGGTCATTTTTTTTTTTAAATTAATTATTTTTGATTCTTTACAATTATTTCGACGGAAATATTTTGACTATCATTATGCAAATTTAATTTAATGTATTTTGATTTAAATCATAGTCAGTATAAATAAATTTGTCCTGTATCACTTGATTGGAAATAAATAATAATTAAAGAAGCAAACAAAATTAACAGACGTCTGAAAATTCTTGAAATTTTCATAACAAATCAATGATAATAAAAAAAAATCTCAGATAGTAGCTAGAAAAATCCAGATTATACTGCGTGATATCTGGATTATACTAAGTAGTGTAAAGACCCAGTTATTGCCACTTTAGGCAATATTGACACTTGCAATTTTATATTAATTAAAAAAAAAAAAAACTCTAATAAATTAATAAATATAATTTTTGAACTATTAATTTTAAGATAATTAATTTTTTTAGAACATTTTATTTTTTTTAATTACAATAAAACTGCAAGTGTCAAATATGAAAATTAAGTTAGCCGACATCTAAAAACTTTTATAATTTTATTTGTTGAAAAAATTGTTACAAAAAAAAAGAAAATAAAAAATTTCATTCCTAATAAACTTTAAAAACTATAAGTGCAATTTTGGAAAAATATTTTTTAGTTCTTATTTAATAAATGAAACAAAATCAAATTAAAAACGTCGGCTAACTTTATATTGTGTCAAACAACTAAGTCAGTTTCAATAACTGGGTCTTTTACCTTATAATCTAGGATGATATCCAATGTCATCCTATTCTTTCCGTGTACGCGTGAATTTTTTTTCTGAATTTTTTTCACTATAATTTAATTGTTATAAAAATCTAAAAAATTGTCAGATGTCTGTTGAATTCAGTATCACAAAAAATTAGATAGTTTAAAATTATAATGACGTTCTAAAATAATAACAATTTAAAGCTTATCCTTACGTGACAATCCAATGCGTCATATTTAATTAAGTACTCATTATTATGATAATTAATAATTATTTTTAGTATACAAATTGTTAAATTTACTTTTGTTTATAGTAAATAGGTAAAAGTACACTTAACGGGCATCTGAAATCTGAGTTTGAATACAAAAAAATAATTATTCACATTAGTCAATATCGTATTCAAATTTGCTTTTAAAAATTACTCATCCGCAAAAGCTTTATATATAAAATATAATATTTTATTATTATTATTATTTTAATAATTATGTTTTAATATTTTTTTTTGTTTAGCATGACCGTGATCAAGTGTTCAAAAGACGTACAGAAAGATAGCTAGTATTTTAGTTGTGTAGTTTCTTTTAACTGTGAATATTTATACGTTTCAATTTCTCCACATTAATTTTATTATCGACATTTGTCTTGTAATAATACATGATTTTTTTTTTATTTCTGTCAATAGATAGTTACACTAAATAATAATTATAATATTGTCAAACATAAATGCGCACCAAATTTATAATTTATAAAATAAAATTATAAAAGTAAATAAAAATAAAGGCAGTAAAACTTTTGATGCATTAATTAAATAATAATTATAATCATTAAAAAAAAATCTGTTTTTAAATATACACTAGTGGTACGCATTATTTGTGCACAACTGTAACAAAATGCCAAGAAAATAATTCTAGAATAAAATAAATCTATTATCAACTATTTAATTAATTAAAAAAAAAAAAAAAAAAAACAAAAAAAATATTTAAAACAATAACTCAATATCCTCGCTGGACACGCGTAATGCCTTAATCTTTTGAAAACCCGCTAACATTAATAATCTAGAAAATAAAAACAATAAAAATACTTAAGTTAACAAAAGAAATTTAAAAAACACACGATGGTAATAAATTATAATAGAAGTATCCTTCTTACATTAATTAGAGAGTAATTATAAATTACGTTAAAAATATTCTAACCATACAACTATATTACAAGAATAACGTTAACGAATTTTTAATAATTATGCTAACGCTCAAAAATTTATTATCCTTTGTTACTTATTATTTTTTTTTTAATAATAATAACTACTATTATTTAATGATACGTATCAGATTAAAAGCTGTACGAAATTTTGGTCTGCATTTCAGACTAATATGATTATAGACTTAAATTGCAGCGTAAAAGCATATAAATATTAACAACCTACCGGAAACGATGCTTAGCAAACTTTAAGATTTTAAATCCAGTTAAATAATATCCAAATAATACACAAGTAGCCAGGAGATAACGATGCAGTTGGTTTCTTTGGAGTTTTACACATTTATTGTTCCACTTGTTATATTTTAAATAAAAATAAATTTATTTTGTCACCTTATTTTATTCATCGAGCATCTTTAGCTGTTAATTTTTCAATTAACTCTTGCAGCGGCGCTAGCTCTCGTCTTTCAATTAAATTAAATTCCTAAGAAAAAAAAAAAAATAACAATTATTTACTATTTAAGTTCAGATTATTATTTTCAAAAATTATTATAAAACTTAAAATTGGTCACAGGAATTCAGGACAATAATTTCAAACTATGTATTGATTCTAGTTGAACGTTTTGTCCTTTTATTAGGACTTCCTCAGCAACTTAATCATACTAGTTCACAGTTTAAAATATATAATTGTTAAAACATATAAAGTATTAGTATGCATCTTACAAAAAAATTTTTTTTTTTTTTCAAAAATTAACAACTTAAATTTTTTACCAATTATCACAGAATAATTCAGTACATTCATAACGACATCAGCTGTAATACTCCTTTTTTTTTTGAAAAAAAAAAAAATGCATCTTTATATGTTTTAACAATAATATATTTTAAACTGTGAACTAGTATGATTAAGTTGCTGAGGAAGTCATAATAAAAGGACGAAACGTTCAACTAAAATCAATAGATAGTTTGAAATTATTATCCTAAATTCCTGTGACCAATTTTAAGTTATTTAAATTTTCCGGATGAAAATAAAGTTAGCCGACATTTCAGAATTTTTAGAAATTTTTTATTGAAAAAATTTCAATTAAACAATTAAAAAAAAAAAATTCACATGTAAAAAATTTGAAAAACTATGAGTGCAATTTTTTAGAAATGTCTTTTTAGTTGTAATTTAATTAATAAAAAAAATCAAAAATTTTTAGACGTCTGCTAACTTTAGTATCATATTTTCTGGACGTGATCAAGATTTTAAGATTATTATAAAACTTACTTGAACAAAAAAAATGAAATGTTTAAATGATGTATTTAAATGTGCCTCCTCTCCTAATTGAACCACCTCACTGAAATGTTGATGGTATATGTGTGCATACACTCGAAACAGTCGTTTTAAAATTGTTTTAGCAATTGAGAGAAAATTTTTAGGAAAAGGAACACCTGTTACATTAAAATAAATTATGTCTTATACTCCAATTGTTACGTCAAATATTTAAATAAAATTTACCGTACCTATTTTGGAAGGAAAAAGAGTTTCATCGTCCAGCTGATCTTGGACCCAAGTCATCAAGTAATCAATGTACTTGGGTGCTGAACATTTGATAGGTTTTTTAACCGTGTGACCATCAGCCCAATGGTACTCATACTTAGGTCCTGCTGACATTATCGGGCAGCTTTCTTCAGTACAAAATTCCGTGATAGTACCGTACAGCATATTTATTTGATTAAAAAAATCAACAGCTAAAACAAGCCAATAAAATTAATCAATAAAAAAATTAATCAACTCTTGTAATTAAAATCATTAGTTTATCTCGGACGAATTACTTACTGTTAACTGCCACCCACTCATTCAGATCTTCTCCCTCAGGTAACATGACAGCAAGTCTCAAATTCCCCGAGCCCAGAGTCGCAGCAGCATGTTTCATCAAGTCATACTGATGTGTCCCTTCAGGAATATTTTTCTTAGGCTTGAATGTCTTAGAAGACCGGCTTCCACTGCAAGCAAAAATAAAATCAATACAAACTCCCAATTAAATTCTAACAATAATCCTGTGCAAAAAAATTAGCATAATAATGTAAGAGTATTAATCTAACAAATGACTCATAACATCCTATATTTGTAATAATGACGTGAGTCAACGGTGCAGTATAAATAAAAATAAAAAAAAAAAATAAACCTCGACTAATGTAAGTAAAAAAACTTTTTTGAGGATAAATAAATAATTATTTTTGAAAGTCTAATGGACTAAAAAATACACAATTCTGATGAGACTCAATTGGTGGTCTATTTATAGATAAACTATTGGACTTGAGAGAAATGAATTTATGTAGACAGGTCAAGAACCTAAATTGAAAAAAAATAATAACTTGATCCAGTAATTTAATTTAATAACAATAATGTTTATGTCAGTAATTAACAACAGTGTTGGGTGGAGATAGTGCTCCGATAGTCAAGTGTTCTGTCATATCAATCGACAACAAGAACGGATCTTTCTAAATAAATAGCACTTTCTCAGGATATTGATCAATGACGTGCTAATAAATTAGAGGTAAAAATTAGTAATAAATTAGAGTTGAAAATCAATAAAAATTAATTAATTAATTGACTTGGTAAGAATGTAAAAAATAATTATTGATAAAAAACTAATGATAAAAAATACTTACAATAGGAAGCTCATTCTGCTTATGTAGCTGTCGCGTCAATGTGCGACTTAGGCTGTTGCTACGTCGATTTAATATTTTTTTTATTTAAATCACCACGTAAAACAACTGACACTTATTGTTGTGGCGGGTGGTTTATCAACGACACTCGCTATACAGTGGGTCTAGGTAAAAATTGTAAATTACAGCAGTGATGTAAAATGGCAGACCTTTTTTTTAGAGGTAATTTTTTTGTCAACTACCTCAAGAAGAGAGATGATTCCATCGACTGCACACACACTTTCCTCCTCTCTCTCTCCCGCTCCAGCTCTTTTAACAGACTATTTCCTTTCTGTTTTTCTATTGGTCCTTCTCTTGGAACCCGTTGGGTTATTACGTCATATCCGCAAGTGGATTTTAGAAATTTTTAAATTACGGCTATTGGTCCGAAAACACCTGTCACGTGATACGAGCTGTCAAATTAAACTGACTAGTCAACAAGAAATCGCAACAGCAATAATTTGAACTAACCTCAAAAAATAATATGCACATTATTTATAAATAAATAAAAAAACTAACAATCAATTTTTATGTTTGAACAATACGAGCAAACAATTAAAAAAAAATTAAAAATGAAAAAAAAAAAATCTTAGGCAGGGCTAAGTTCAGTAAGCCAAGAGAGAGATATATTTGAAAGAGAGAGAGAGAAAAAGAAAGAATAAACATAACCTGAAATTTCATGTCATTACTCTAACCTAAACATTTGTTTATTTACATGTGTTGTCAATAAGCTTATACCGGTGAAATTTATTTATTTTTTCTTAATTTCATATTTATTTAATTGATAATGGAGGACATTACTATACGACAAGCTTTTCTTAAGCTTAAGCCAATCTGTGATTGTTTAATGAAAGAACCGACAATTAAAAATGCTATTGATGTTGAAAATTGTGTAAAAAATTTACCAGTTTCAGTAATACAAAATCTTAATGAATATATTTTATTCCCAGTTATAATTCATTTACAAAATAATATAAGGTAATTATTTTTATTATAAAAATTCATATTAAATATTATTTTTAATTAATCTACTATATTTTTTTATGATATTAAAGTCAGCAGTCACAACCATTTTTTTATTTTTTTTAACAAGTAGATTTTTTCCAAAAAATTATTTAAAAAAAATTGAAAGTTTTATTTTTTTTAATTTCTACATGCCAATTTTTTCTTCTACTTTTTATTTGCCACAATTTATTAGTTAAAAAAATTCTTAAAATTATCAAAAATTTTCTAAATTAATTTTTTTCTTTTTCAGCAAAGATGTCAAATTACATTTGATGTATATTGTCAAATCAGTAATTACCAAATTACGATTTTACAAACTTGAATTTTTTAATAAACTTTATGTATGTTTTATTATTTCTATTTATGATTCTACACAGAGCAATTTAGGTAAGATACTAATTTTTAATTGACAAAAAGTGTATTTGATAAACTTTCAAGTTTTCTGTCATTTAAATTAAAAAAAAAAAAATTTTTAATATTCACAATATTTATTTTTCAGTAATTCAATCACATGAAGAACTAAAAGAATGTGTTGTCGATTGTTTAAAATATTTGATTGTCAATACATCGCTTGACGTAATAGAAGAATTTTACAAACGTGAAAATGCAGCAAAAATCAGCCAAAGTATTTATACTTGTTTATCAATAGCAGTAACTGAAAAATCATCTTCTTTAAGGTAGTCAATTAAAATCATTGATTTAATCTATTTATTTATAAAAATAATATTTAAAATGACCTTTTAAATAGAATTGCTGCATTGGAAGCACTTATAGCTCTCTCCTATGTCCACGACAGTGTCGATGCCTCAGAAGTCGTTTTACGTAATGACGTAGCGAATATTATAATGTTATTTCTACCCGGTATTGTCAAAAAACTCCAAGAAATTTATCAAGGAAGCGATGTTCAACATCATAAAGTCACGCTGGTAATTTTTAATTAATTCATTTATTTATTTATTTATTTAAAAATTTTTTAATTTTCTACAAAAAAATTATTTTAGATGGCAGTAAGAGCATTGGGTCGTATTGTATCACTGGTAATGGAGGATCTAGTGAAAACTAACGAAGTATCAACTCTCCCAGCATTACCTCAAGTGCCAAGCTCTACATCAGACCCTCTGGGTATCCAATTAAACCAAGAAGGTCGCCAGGGTATGGAGAAACATATAAAAACAGTAGTGCGTAATCAAGAATGGTTAGATGCAGCTGCTGATAAACTCCAAGCTCCAATGCGTGACTTGATAAACTTAACAAAACATTCTCACTATAAAGTAAGAAAAGAATTAGCTCTATCAGTAATTCTGCTACTAACTAAATGTCCAAGTAACCTGCACCAGAGTTTTGCAGAACTGACTGAAATTTTAATAACCCTGTCGGAAGATGATGTTCCCGAAGTACGAGATCTAGCAAACTCATTGCTGAGTCAAGTTAACAATATTGTCACTCAATATAAAATGAAATCAATTGTTGAAACTCTAGAAGAAAGGTTTTACAAGCTTCTAACAAAGTTACCGCGAATCATCCGCCGATCAGACGATGCAGCGCAATTGTCGTACCTGAACCAGCTGGCTGGTTACTTGAGACTTCTCGGAAAAGAACGTCTTCCTCAAATAATGACTTCAATTGCTCACTTAAGACGTTTGATTTTGTCCCTTGTCTACGTAGCTGAGCTTGACTGCAGTGATGTCACAATTCTTGAAGAAAATCAGTTGAGAACAATCGAAGATGTTGTTGACTCGCGCCAGTCTTGGAAGAAGTTCAAATTCATCCGTGACTCGACAACAGAAGACAAATTGATTCTCATTTGTAGTTTACTGAGTAGTCTTGGAGAATTGTCAATTTTAGTCAACAGTATCTTCGAATTGATTACCGACATGCCTCACTATCGTAAAGAACTGACTCTGCTGCTAAACTGGATGCTTAAATCAGCTCACGAAGCTCCGGTGTCTCTCCTACGGCAAGTTGTAGATTATTACACGGATCCCGAGCTTTGGTACCTGCCTATCCAAGATGAAGGCACTTCACTTCGTCAACTGCAATGCAATGTCGTGGAGTCTTGCTTATTGACAGAAGGTCTGGGGATTGTAGCGACGGTACTAAAGGAGGATTATCATCAATTTCTTTTAAAGACTCTGTACTTGGTAATTGAAAGAGCGGGAAGCGGTCACGGGATGATAAGTCTCGTGGGTCTTCAGACTCTTGATCATATTGCTAATGCTCAAGAAAAGAAGAGTATTACTGATTTAATTCGTGAGAATGTAGACTATATTTCTTATCACGTTACCATGAAATTAAAAAGGGTTGAAAAAAATCCTGGGGTGCTAAATGTCGTTGCTGTTGTCATGAAGTACAGTACTATGGACGTGCTGCCTTATCTGAAAGAAATTGTTGAAGATGCTTTGGCTCAATTGGGGGCCAATTTTCAGAAGGCAAATGTTTACTCACTGCTCAAAGTGCTCTACACATTTACTGTGTGTTTGAAACAATTGTTGGGTATTGATGATAGTGTAAAGAAGAAAGAAGAAGAAGAAGAAGGAGAGATAAATGTCGCTGAGAGGGTGATAGAAAATTTATTAGAGCACTGTGAGTCGAAAAAAGTGTCCGAAGATTTTGAGAATGACGAACTGGGTGGCGGTCCTGAAGATATTTTAAAAGATATTGAGAATAGAGAGGATGAAAATTCAGATTATAATTCTACGGAAGAAAATAGAGAGCCTCCGATGCATATTAAAATTATTGAGAGTATAATGAAGCAGTGTTTACACTTCCTGCCTTCTAAAGACATGGCCAAGCTTTTGCTGAGCATGCAAACACTTCAGGAAGGTATTTTTATTCTTAAGGATTGGACGGATCAATTGTTGCCTATTGTACACGAAATATGGCATCCTCTGGTGGATCGATTTCAGGATTCTAATATACTTATTATAAATACCGCCTGGCAATTGCTTTTCACTCTAGCTCAGGTGTCTGAAGACTTCATTAGAAGTCGCACGCTCAAACAAGTGTCTCCAGGTCTAGCAAAATTTTTATACGATTCTGCTAAAGATAGTTATAAAAAAGATTCTAGGAACGGATATAAATTTACCCAGAAATTTAAATTACAAAGATTACTTCTTATGGAAATGGGACCCGTGACACGGTATCTAAAACTCCAAGAACCGGATCTCTGGAAGTTGGTTACTATTACCGAGCCTTATCTTGACTGTTATCAGCAACCTGAATTGCAGGAATGTTGTGTTAATTTGTACAAAGAAATTGCTGATTTAAATGGGGATGTTGTTTGGGTCAAGTGTATCAGTCTCTGGCACTCACATGTGAGTAAGGTTTCTCCGGATGAAGGTTTTAGCGTCGATTTGGAGTTAGAAAAATTTAATGATAGTAGTAATAAATATGTTAAGAATTTAAAAACAATATTGAGGTATATTGATGACAAGGTGAGAATGGTTGACAGATGAGTGTTTAAATAATATTAATTGTACAGTGATTAGATTAAAAATGTTTTTTTGTAACACCATGTACAGTGTAAAAAATTAAATTCATTAAATCATAATTATTTGATTTTATTAACGTAGAAAACTAACGATTGGTCTTTTAGGTCCAAGTGATTTTTCTTTTTTTAGAGCGTCCATTAATGATTCATTTAATTTTTTTCCTACTGCAATTCCAATCTGAAAAATTAATTATTTTGAATCAACAAATTAATTATTTTTTAATTAAAAAATTTAAATTTTTTTATTCTATTAAAATTGTTAAAAATTATGAACTACCTGCAGAGTTTTTATAAACGTAGCTGGTTGAAGACTTCCGTATCCTGTTTTTACAACTGACGTGATTTCTCCTGAAGGAATTACTGATAAAACTACACTAGCTGCTGCACAAGCTTCTTCTTCAGCTATCGGATCTACAATACAGTTATCACCTATCTAAAAAATATTAAATTTGATCAGTAAATTAAATATCAACTAATTGACTATAAGTGAATAAAAATGAATCAGTGTTTGATAGATTACTTTGCATAATGTGACGAGTACTGGGAAAGATTCAACATTCAAAGTGACGCAGTCAAATGGATCATCAGAGACTTGCAGGTCAGCTTCTCCACCATCCAATGTTGCAGCCGTCACTCTTGGAATCTCCGTGTTGAATAAAGCAGCTTTCACTGCAGCTCCAATAGCGTCATATAAATTTCCACCACACTGTAAAATCTATTTACAAGAAAAAAATTCATTATGATGGTTACAATTATCTCTTACAATTAAATAAAATTATTTTTAAAAATTAAACATACCAAAACGTCAACATACATTTTCCAGCATTTTTTGTGGGGTAATATTGACAAAAATTTAAGATTAAATGTTTTTCGTGACTGGTAAGCGTTTGCAAGAACATTGCTGATCTCTGTAGCCAAATCGTCTCCGCCTTTACCTTCAAATTCCGGGGTTGCGTTAGCAGAACTTTAATAAAACAATTAATTAATTAATTAATTAATTATTCAGGAGTTAGTTATAATTTTATCGAGCAATGAAAATTAAATTAGCTGACATTTAAAAATTTTTTTTATTAAAAAAATTATTACAAGAAAAATTTTTTTTGTAAAAAACTTGAAAAATTGTAAGTGCATTTTTTAAAAAATATTTTTTAGTTTTAATTTAATAAATTAAAAAAAAATCAAAAAGTCAAAAAAGTCAGCTAACTTTAATATTATTATTATTATTATTATTATTATTATTGAGCAACGTACCAATCAACGAAGAACTCCAGCTTCCCCTCATAAGGTCTATCGGGAAATGGAGTATCCACTTCAACCTTGACACCTACTAGGACGTCGGTATTCCCAATTCTTAACCGCGCTGATCCATTTGTTTGTGGCATTAATTTTGTCTCAATTTCAATTGACCGGTATTCACATTGACGACGTCCATCTATCCTCAGATCTGCCTGTTATGTACAAGAAAATAAATGTCACAATAAAACAAATAATATAGTAATAAAAAATTATTCTTACATCTACACCATGAAGAATAAATGTCTTTTCAGCTAAACTTAATGGATTTTCCATTTTTTTATTATATGTTGAAATTAAGTTACTATTAACAAAAAATTAGCTCACACTTGGACACTTATTTATGTATACACACTGAGGTTATGTTTACAAGCACGTGTTTTTCCATAACAATAATAATTATAAAGTTTGAGTGTTTTAATTAATCCAGGTGTCTCTAGTTGTTGGTTTATTTATTCTTGCTTTAGTAACAAGAAACCAAGTGTCATTAAAAATTACAGATGTCAATAATAATAACAGCAATATATATGATGTATACGAATATAAAGTTGTCCTAATTGTCAGCGAATATTTTGCAAATAAAAAATAATTCTTAAATGGTATGTAAAATAAATATAATTATTTTTTATGACACTGAAGTTGACAGACGTTAGAACTTTATAGCAATAAAATTATAATGAATAAAAATTTAATAAAAAAAATTATACATGTGACAATTAAACAAAATTATTAGTGGAAAATTTTAGAAGCATTTTTTTAATTATTAATTTTTTATAGAAATTAAAAAAAATTGATAGGTGTCAGCTGATGAAATTAAAGTTAGCAGTCTTGACCTTCTTTTAATTTGTTTTTTTACAAACAAATTTAGTATGAAAAATTACTTTAAAAAAATTACATTTTTAATTTTTTAAAATATCTACATGGCAATTTTTTTTTTTTAATTTATTTGTTATAAAAATTTTTAAATATCTGCTAAATTAATTCTCATTAAAGTTAGCAGTCTTGGCCATTTTTTTATTTTTTTTAACAAATAAATTTAGTTTGAAAAATAATTTTCAAAAAATTGCATTTTTAATTTTTTAAAATATCAACATGTTAATTTTTTTTGCCATAATTTATTTGTTGAAAAAATTATTAAACATCTGCCAAATTAATTTTCATTGTTAGCTGACTTTAGTATCATAATTACTTATTTAAATAATTTAATTTTTCAGATTTTTATGAGTTAATCTATACTGTCTTGTAATTAAAATATCAACATGTCAGATTTAAAAGAACCGACAAATTTGATGGCTAAGTACCATATTATTAACAACAAATTAAAAAAACGTTTTATGAAGAATCCGAATTACCCAGAAATTAGCGAAGAATTCATCTCATTAGCAAAAGAATGTGAGCAAAACCAAGCTTGGCAGTATGCTGGTTTGTGTTATACAGCGGCATCAAGGTGCTATCGTATAATGGGAGTAACAACGTCTGAGATAAATTCATTAGTACAAGCTGGAAGACAGTACTTGGTAGCTGAAAAACAGAACAAGGACATTGGGTGTCCGTCTTTGGGCCAAGAAAATATTGTTGCTGCTACTAAATGCTTCCTCGATGCTTCAGAGCGGGTTCCTGATGCACCAGAATTCAAGGTGCTTGTTTCTGAGTGTCTGAGAGAAGTTGCTTCCTATCAAAAAGGCACATCAGCTTGTGATCAGTTGCTGAAAAAATCCATCAGCATGTGTGCAACCGTGGAATCCTTCGACGCTTTGATAGTCAACAGTATAAAACAAGATAACTATGTTGAAGCTCTCAACGCGATTAATGAACTAATTGGTCTCATTGAAAGTACAGAGTCAAAGACGTTGACTCGCTATCGTCATTCTTTACACAACGCCGAAATCAATCGGCTTTTGTTGGTGTTAATTATGTATCCCACGTGTTTCAAGGTCCAACCTGTGCATAAAAAAATCCTGGATAATTATATTGCCAATGAAGAGAATACTAAAAATTGTCTCTGCTTGTGCGATGACGAATTTATTTTGTTCCAGTCGCTGATCTTGGCGTGTCAGTCTGAAGACATTGAAGCTATTATAGATTTAGAAACAGAATTGTGGGATTATTTAAATGCTTATCAGAAAGATCTTTTGAGAGTACTTGTTCGAATTATAACTAATGAGTAAATTTATTAACATAGATAAATTTTATTTTATTATTTTTTAGACTAAAAAAATATTTGGTAATTACGTACAAGTGGGGCCCTGTTTAAAAATATTCATTGAAAAAAATTCACTATCATTTATAAATTTTTTTTTTAATTTGTTAAAATTGTGATAATTGACTTTTTTTTAATTGTTCATTTTTTCATGTATTTTTCAAAAAAAATTTATCATTAAAATTAAATAGAAATTTCGTTCAAAAAAATGAAAATTAAAACGATTGACCCAACCTGTAAATATTTACCAAATTTTTCTACTTTATTAAAATTATTGTGGATAATGCAGTACCTGCAGAGTTTTGATACTCTCAGATTTGATAAACTTCCAAATATATAAAAAAACGAACACTTAAAAAAAAATTGATCAATTTAATGAAAAAAAAAAAAAAAAATTACCATGGGCTAGCATGGGTTGACCCCACTTGTAAATAATTACCAAAAATATTTAATATTGAAAATTATTGATGCACTGTAAATAATTAAAAATTGCATATAAATATAATGAAAAAAAAAAATCAAGTCAAGTAATATGTGTAAACGTAAAATGAATAAAAATTATATTGAAAAATTTATTAAAAAAATAATTTTATTTCTTATATAACTATCCGTCATTACACTTTAATGTTAGCATTTATCATATTTTTGTATGATTAATTAATAATTAATAATTATAATATAGAAAAAATTTGTTGATGATTTGCATTTTAAATTACACTACTAAAAATATTTGTAATTGAGTATATTATTTTATTTAACATCGCAATTAGGCATAATAGAAAAAATTATTTATTTTTTTAGTTAATTATTAATACCATGTACATAATATACAATAGTCGTATGTAAATTATTATAAGCATTATTCAAAATGCATAACTACGAAAGTGTGTCGTGATAAATTATCAAAGGCAGTAGTCAATAATAAATTTAAAAAATATTCAATATTACTTTATACCCGTAAACAACCAGGTATCATATTGTGATACAATAACTTTAATGTTAAATAATTATAATTGTATCTTATGAGTAGTGAGTTTTAATAATTTGCATCTATAAATATTTATTATTGCCATGGGTATAATAATAATAATAATAATAATAAATAATAATCATTGTCGGTCTTACGCATCACTCACAGATACCAATTAATAATTATAAAATTATTATAAGTCGCCATGATTAATTGTGCTATTACAATATTTACAGTGAATATTTTTTAGCTACTGTATCACTGAGTAAAATTGCACCAAGGGTATTTTAAATACTATATCTACACATTTGTCACGATTCAATACTTTCATACTTATGTACATTGTATAAATTATTTGATACGCTCAATTGTTCATAGATTATCATTATTAGCTACTTTTTAATTTACATTATTAGATTTGATAATAATTTTTTATAAATTTAAATCATTATTCACTCTCACATTTTATTAAATCGCAATTATTACTCCAAAATAAACAATTGCCAAAACCACTGTAACAAATTAATGAAACAGCAACAAAAAATACCAAGCTGCAGATAATGCATGGCCTTCTTTCCAAGAAAAATCCTATCAGATAAAGCACCATAAACATAACATGAGTTGGAAGCAGTGCAGGATTCACTGGTTTTGGAATCAGCAAAACTGGTATCAGCCACTGTAGACAATACATCCTTCCCTAATAATTATTTAATTATCTCCCTGATTATAACCTCTTGGAACTTTATTTTTTATCGGTTAATCATTATCACCTATATCTAAAAAAATAAAAAAAAAAAATTATTAATATTTTAAGATTCAAGATTATTTATTATAAATCATATATGCTTGTCTATGCAATATTGATATATGTATATATTACTTCATAATTGATACCTTGTGGTGTCCATGGTTTAGTTAATTTGTTTAAACAAACACTATGACAATTTATTACAGCTATCAATAATCTTTTATTGACACAAAACTCAGCATTTATTTTTCACTTAAATATTTAAAATATTAATCCAAGCATTTCCTGCTTTGTTTTATTAACAAGAATTTAAAATACCAAAGTGAACTATTTTAATAAAAATATCATGACGGAAGACTTGCTGACAATAACAATGAGTAACAATAAAATTAAAAAATATATATGTTAATTATTACCTTAACCACGGTCTTATTTTAAATGACTAACCTTAAAATTTTATTGCTATTTAACTGCAGTAGGTATTTAAACACACAGATGATTAACTTCAACTAGCGACATCTATGAATTAGATCTTAGTTAAATTTAAAAAAATACTTAACAAAATTATGACTGAAGTTAGCAGTCACTTGACCATTTTTTAATATTATTTAACAAAAAAATTGCATTTTTAATTTCTACATGTCAATTTTTTTTCTATAATTTATTTGTTACAAAAATTCTTAAAATTGTCAAATATCTTCTAAATTAATTAATGATACTAAAGTTAGTAAACGTTTTTAATTTTTTGACTTTTTTTTATTTATTAAACTAGAATTAAAGAACATTTTTTAAAAATTGCACTTTTAAAATCTTTCATTAATTTTTTCAATGAAAAAAAAAATTATAAAAATTTTTATTTGTCGCCTAACTTATTTTTCATAAAAAAATACTTAATAAAATTATGGAATTTAAGTTATCAATCACTTGACCATTTTTTAATTTTATTTAACAAAAAAATTATTTTAAAAAATTGCAATTTATATTTTTTTAAATTTCTACATATCAATTTTTTTACAATAATTTGTCACAAAAATTCTCAAAATTGTCAAATACCTTCTAAATTAATTTCAACAAAATTAATTGTTTATAATATCATAATTTTTATTTATAAACAAATACATCCAATAATATTAAAACATAAATTGATAAATTTAAAAATCTTACAAATATTGGATTAATAAATATTGAAAGTAATCTTATTTAATTAAAACTAAATTAATCTTCAGGCCAAGGTTTTCCTATACCTTGACTGGCGCCCATTCTTGACGGATCTTGACTGGGATAATGTATGGGCGCAGTTCCTGGGGGAAATATCGGTGTAGCAGCACTGGCAGCAGCAGCAGCAGCAGCAGCAGCAGCAGTGGCAATCTGCGACGGGAACAAAAACTGCGGAGCGACTGGAGGCGGTGGGATTATTATCGGAGGCATGATACCGGTAGCACCTTGAAGATTGAAGAAATTGTTGCCCAAGCTCTCGGGTGGAGGCAGCGGTTTTGGAAGTCCAGGAACAGGCTCCAACATCTCCCGAGTCGCTTCTACGGCAGAAATCGTCTGACGTCCTTGAGATCTTCCCCATTTTATAATCAATCGTCGGCCTCCTAGGATTAATTTATTGAACGTGCGCTCGGCAGCCAGTTCTGCAGCTGCTCGTTGGGTGTACTGAATAAAAGCACACTGCTGACGAGGGACCATCGTCACGGAACGGATTTCTCCGTACTGATAGAAGTGATCTCTCAGCTGCTTCTCCGTCAGAATGTCACCAAGACCGCCGATGTAGAGAGTGGTGATAGATTTGTCCTCTGGTGGCTCAAGAGTTGGCATAGCAGCTGCCCGGCGCATCAACTTGTCGGCAACTGGGTCATTGACTCCGTAGTAACGGTCCTTGATATTCTGGTCAGCGAGTGGGTCGTCTGGGTCTGTGGGCTTTTCGTGTCGGTACGGACACTCTTCACCACGCTTACATTCTCCTTTTACCCAGAATGAACAAATGTGGGGGCGGTTCCGCTTATAGTAGGGACTTGTTCTGGCTAACTTCATCAACAAGTCACTTGCTGCTGCTGATTTACCCACTGCTCCTGCTGGACTAGTTGGGTCGATGTTACCTATCTCCTTGTCTATGTTTTGGACGTAGTACTCTTTGTTCACTTCGGAACGCGGCAAGTCATCCTTGACCTTGAGCGCTGCGTCGCGTACTTGGATGGGCAACCCGTACTCCAGGTCCAGCAAACATGTTTGACAGACATTTTTTAATCTGCTGCACGTCTGACAAACTTCAGTCTTCTTGAAACGCATTCTTGCTCCAGGACACCACCTGAATACTGTGAAGGGCCGGATACAAATCTTGCACTCTTTTCCATATTTTTCCTTGGTCTGGAAATAAATTTAACATTGATTAATTTATTTCAGTTCATTATTTTGACCTTCCGGTAATTTAGATAATTTTTATAAAAAATAACACTAAAGTTAGCCGACATTTTTTTATTTTTTTTTTATTATTAAATTAGAACTAAAAAATATTTTTTAAAAATTACACTTACAGTTTTCAAAGTTTTTTACAAATGAAAATTATTTTTTATATATATATATATATATATATATATATATATATATATATATATATATATATATATATATATATATATATATATATATATATATATATATATATATATATATATATATATATATATATACTGAG